ACTGCTGGGTTTCAGGACCTGTCCTTTGGCCAGCATGTGGGCCTCATCAAAAGCTTCCGAACAAGGTATAATTACGAAGTTCGTATCGCGGGCGCTTGCAGGCATTGCTGTATGGACTGACTCCACATAGGGGTACTACTGGCATTGATGCGCTAAATCTTAAATTTTCTCCGCAACTGCTGGGTTTCAGGACCTGTCCTTTTGCCAGCTTGTGGGCCTCATCACAAGCTTCCGAACAAGGTAGAGTTTGTGCAGAATTGCCCAGGTTAAGGTACCTTTAGACCGCGATTTACGAAGTTCGTGTCGCGGGCGCTTGCAGGCATTACTGTATAGACTGGCTGCACATAGGGGTACTACTGGCATTGATGCGCTAAATCTTGAATGTTCTCCGCAACTGCTTTGTTTCAGGACCTGTCCTTTCACCAGCTTGTGGGACTCATCACAAGCTTTCGAACAAGGTATAGTGCAGAACTGCCCAGGTTAAGGTACCTTTAGACCGCGATATACGAAGTTCGTGTCTCGGGCGCTTGCAGGCATTGTTGTATAGACTGACTGCACATAGGGGTACTACTGGCATTGATGCGCTAAATCTTGAATTTTCTCCGCAACTGCTGGGTTTCAGGACCTGTCCTTTTGCCAGCTTGTGGGACTCATCACAAGCTTCCGAACAAGTTATAGTTTGTGCAGAACTGCCCAGGTAAAGGTACCTTTAGACCGCGATATACGAAGTTCGTGTCGCGGGCGCTTGCAGGCATTGCTGTATAGACTGACTGCACATAGGGATACTACTGGCATTGATGCTCTCAATCTTAAATTTTCTCCGCAACTGCTGGGTTTCAGGACCTGTTCTTTTGCTTGCTTGTGGGCCTCATCACAAGCTTCCGAACAAGGTATAGTTTGTGCAGAACTGCCCAGGTTAAAGTACCTTTAGACCGCGATATACGAAGTTCGTGTCGCTGGCGCTTGCAGGCATTGCTGTATAGACTGACTGCACATAGGGATACTACTGGCATTGATGCGCTAAATCTTAAATTTTCTTCGCAACTGCTGGGTTTCAGGACCTGTCCTTTTGCCAGCTTGTTGGAGTCATCACAACCTTCCGAACAAGGTATAGTTTGTACAGAACTGCCCAGGTTAAGGTTCCTTTAGACCGCGATATACGAAGTTTGTGTCGCGGGCGCTTGCAGGTATTGCTGTATAGACTGACTGCACATAGGGGTACTACTGGCATTCATGCGCTAAATCTTGAATTTTCTCCGCAACTGCTGGGTTTCAGGACCTGTCCTTTTGCCAGCTTGTTGGAGTCATCACAACCTTCCGAACAAGGTATAGTTTGTACAGAACTGCCCAGGTTAAGGTTCCTTTAGACCGCGATATACGAAGTTCGTGTCGCGGGCGCTTGCAGGCATTGCTGTATAGACTGACTGCACATAGGGGTACTACTGGAATTGATGCGCTAAATCTTGAATTTTCTCCGCAACTGCTGGGTTTCAGGACTTGTCCTTTTGCCAGCTTGTGGGCCTCATCGCAAGCTTCCGAACAAGGTATAGTTTGTGCAGAACTGCCCAGGTTATTCAATCGTCGGATTAATTTAACTGGGTTGACACTGTTTCAATACCAATTTATTCGGGGCGCAAATAGAATACACTTTGGATGTCCTTTAACCCGTGTACGCCATTGGAACGGGACATTACAGACATTTAGGATGGTACAAAATCATTTCAAAATGGGATATCCGTATTTTCTTTGGAAAACTGCTGTTTTGTACATTATTTGTCAATCGTCGGATTAATTTAACTGGGCTGACTCAGTTTTAATACCAATTTATTCGGGGCGCGAATAGAATACATTTTGGATGTCCCTCAACCCGTGTATGTAATTGGAACGGGACATTTCGGACATTTAGGATGGTACAGAAATCATTTCAAAATGGGATATCTGCATTTTCTTTGGAAAACGGCTGTTTTGTTTCGTAATTATCAACCGTCGGATTAATTTAATTGAGCTGACACTGTTTCAGTTCGGATTTATTCGGGGCGCGAATAGAATACATTTTGGATGTCCCTTAACCCGTGTGTGTAATTGGAACGGGACATTGCGGACATTTAGGATGGTACAAAATCATTTCAAAATGGGATATCCGTATTTTCGTTGGAAAACGGCTGTTTTGTATCGTAATTATCAATCGTCGGATTAATTTGATTGGGCTGACTCTGTTTCAATACTGATTTATTCTGGGCGCTAATAGAATACGCTTTGAGAGTCCCTTAACCCATGTATGCAATTGGAACGGGACATTTCGGACATTTACGATGGTACAAAATCATTTCAAAATGGGATACCCGTATTTTCGTTGGAAAACGACTGTTTTGTAAGTTAATTATCAATCGTCGGATTAATTTAATTGGGCTGACTCTGTTTCAATACTGATTTATTCGGGGCGCAAATAGAATACACTTTGAGAGTCCCTTAACCCATGTATGCAATTGGAACGGGACATTTCGGACATTTACGATAATACAAAATCATTTCAAAATGGGATACCCGTATTTTCGTTTGAAAACGACTGTTTTGCAAGTTAATTATCAATCGTCGGATTAATTTAATTGGGCTGACTCTGTTTCAATACTGATTTATTCGGGGCGCAAATAGAATACACTTTGAGAGTCCCTTAACCCATGTATGCAATTGGAACGGGACATTTCGGACATTTACGATAATACAAAATCATTTCAAAATGGGATACCCGTATTTTCGTTTGAAAACGACTGTTTTGCAAGTTAATTATCAATCATCGGATTAATTTAATTGGGCTGACTCTGTTTCAATACCGATTTATTCGGGGCGCAAATAGAATACACTTTGGATGTCCCTTAACCCGTGTATGCCATTGGAACGGCACAATTCGGACATTTAGGATGGTACAAAATCATTTCAAAATGGGATATCCGTATTTTCTTTCGAAGACGAATGTTTTGTACGTTAATTATCAATCGTCTGATTAATTTAATTGGGCTGACTCTGTTTCAATACTGATTTATTTTGGGCGCAAATAGAAAACACTTTGGATGTCCCTTAACCCGTGTATGCAATTGGAACGGGACATTTCGGACATTTAGGATGGTACAAAATCATTTCAAAATGGGATATCCGTATTTTCTTTGGAAAACGAATGTTTTGTTCGTTAATTATCAATCGTCGGATTAATTTAATTGGGCTGACTCTGTTTCAATACCGATTTATTCCAAGCGCGAATAGAATACAATTTGAGAGTCCCTTAACCCGTGTATGCAATTGGAACGGGACATTTCGGACATTTAGGATGGTACAAAATCATTTCAAAATGGGATATCCGTATTTTCTTTGGAAAACGAATGTTTTGTACGTTAATTATCAATCGTCTGATTAATTTAATTGGGATGACTCTGTTTCAATACTGATTTATTCCGGGCGCAAATAGAAAACACTTTGGATGTCCCTTAACCCGTGTATGCAATTGGAACGGGACATTTCGGACATTTAGGATGGTACAAAATCATTTCAAAATGGGATATCCGTATTTTCTTTGGAAAACGGCTGTTTTGTTTCGTAATTATCAATCGTTGGATTAATTTAATTGGGATGACTCTGTTTCAATACTGATTTATTCGGGGCGCAAAATAGAATACACTTGGGATGTCCCTTAACCCGTGTATGCAATTGGAACGGGCCATTTCGGACATTTAGGATGGTACAAAATCATTTCAAAATGGGACATCCGTATTTTCTTTGGAAAACCGGTCTTTTGTATCGTAATTATTAATTGTCGGATTAATTTCATTGGGCTGACTCTGTTTCAATACTGGTTTATTCGGGGCGCGAATAGAATACATTTTGGATGTCCCTTAACCCGTGTATGCAATTGGAACGGGACATTTCGGACATTTAGGATGGTACAAAATCATTTCAAAATGGGATATCCGTATTTTCTTTGGAAAACGGCTGTTTTGTACGTTAATTATCAATCGTTGGATTAATTCAATCGGGCTGACTCTGTTTCAATACCGATTTATTCCGGGCGCGAATAGAATACACTTTGGATGTCCCTGAACCCGTGTAAGCAATTGGAACGGGAAATTTCCGGCATTTAGGAGGGTACAAAATCATTTTACATTTATTATAATACCTGCGTACGTACGTGTCATAAAAGTATCGTAGAGGGCACTAAACAACCATGTATTTTGGGAAAAGATGATCACGGCCAGGCCTTATGAGTATTAATTTCTATGAAAAAAATGGAAAGTTTTGCAAAAACAGGAAAGAAAGATATGAAATCAGGCAACCCCCCCCCCCCCGGACTCATGCATGTGACCCGGTCCTTCCCGCAACGCAACACTGCTCAAGGAGTAGTCTGGCGGATATAGCGCCCTCTCATCGGCTATAAGGCAGAACCTTAGTTCAGTAACGTTAACATTTATAACATTAACATTCCCAATTGTGAAAAACAATTGCCACAGTCTTCATTACGATTTACTTTAGAGTCGAATAAACAACATTTTCAGTTATTTAAGGTAATCCACCGTGATAAGAAGTTGAACTTCCTTTATAATTCGTTTTCTCCTAATGTGCATTTGCAATGACTGTTTAGGGCCACCGTAGTGGCAATTAATCCTCACGGCGGTGCGCCGCCGTAAAAATAGTGCCTAGCCGAAAATCGTGCCAAGATCAGCCTGGTGATCAATGTTGTATATCGTGGAAGTGTCTACAGGGAACTAGACATTTTCACCAACAAATATGGTTGAAGCGATTCTGTGTGATGAAAGCGGTCGTACTTAAAATCGATTCTTTTTACTTCATAGATATGAAATTTTGGTTGGGGCGTATTTCGATACTACAACTCGATTTACGTACTCGATATTCAGGACCGATTTCTCAACTGAGTGAACTGACTACAAAATTCGTTTGTGTAAAATGTACGGGTACTGATTCTGTTGTACAGTCAGTAATTCAGGGCCGAGAACATGGGGTTTTTGCACGAAATCACTCTTTTTTGTTTGGCGATCTACACTTTCTGCTCAGTCACTAAGGCAGATGACTTTCTTGGGTGCGGTGGCTTCGTAAAATCGGACGTAGAGATAAATTTCTCCCGCATTGAGGTAGGTTGTTGAACGAGGGAAAAATTTCCGTACTGGGACTGGGAGCATAGTTTGAGTTAGCCCGACTGCGTCTGGCCGTACAGTACTATCGCAAGCTCTGTAGTACGGCCAGACGCCCGATGCTTCCACAGAGACTGAATTTTGTTGGCCGCCGATGTAGCGATTTTGCTACATCTTTCGATCGCGATTATCTTTTCATCCAGGACACAAATTTCCAAAGTTGAGGTTCGTAGTGGTAGAGCAACTCATACCTTTTCGAAAAAACGTTGTTTGGTCTCAATATTTTCATCCATCTGGCCACAAGACGAATTTCAGTCATCAGATTCCACAAATATCGTCCCCCATGCGATCCCCCATGCGATTTCAAAATGGCGGCCGTGCTGTAATGTATGCAATATGCAGGCGCGCCCGCGCAAACTCATGAATATGCATAAACAGTCTGTGACGTATGACCTCTGTTTTTGGACGTGTTTGCGGCGGGGCCGTACATCCAAAGACACGAGGTCATACGTCACAGACTGTTTATGCATATTCATGAGTTTGTGCGGGCGCGCCTGCATATTGCATACATTACAGCACGGCCGCCATTTTGAAATCGCATGGGGGATCGCATGGGGGACGATATTTGTGGAATCTGATGACTGAAATTCGTCTTGTGGCCAGATGGATGAAAATATTGAGACCAAACAACGTTTTTTCGAAAAGGTATGAGTTGCTCTACGACTACGAACCTTAACTTTGGAAATTTGTGTCCTGGATGAAAAGATAATCGCGATCGAAAGATGTAGCAAAATCGCTACATCGGCGGCCAACAAAATTCAGTCTCTGTGGAAGCATCGGGCGTCTGGCCGTACTACAGAGCTTGCGATAGTACTGTACGGCCAGACGCAGTCGGGCTAAGTTTGAGTAACTCCAGCTAACGCCATGAACGGTCATACTAAACAGCGTCAACACAGCGTCAACACACTCCAAAGCGTCAACACAGCGTCAACACATCCAAAATGCATTAAAATTGACAAAAGCAGTATGTAACCCATACAGTATGGACAGAAACAAGATTTTTGCTTAAAATCAATAGGTTAAACGTCTGAAAATCGCGATTTTTAGTTCAAGAAAATTGGCTCTCCGTGCCGCTCCGAAATCGGCTACCGAACACCCGCCATGTTGCCTCAGTGGCAGCGCGGACCATACCATTATTCTAAAGGGTGATAGCGTTGTACAATAAACCAACAGAGAGGGACGCGGCCGGGGTCGCCAGTGTTAAAAATATCTGCAAAGACCAAAACATAAACACAACTCACAAAATAATGATCTACCACTCCTCCGATCCTTAGTCCTCACACAGATCTGGTATCCCTCTGTCTAGTCTGCAGCAAGGCGCCCTCTGTTGTTTATGACAAGATAATGTCATTACCTTCACACCCCTACTTGAAATGGTGTAGTCCAAGCTTTGTGCGAAGTCAAGATGGCGGACAACGGCCGTGCAAGTTAAGGTCATTTTTTTCGCGTGAAAATACGATATTTTTAACAACGAAATGGAAACTCAATCCAATGGAAATTCTCTTTTATTGTATGTTTCACAATTATATGCCCTTTTTGTCAATTCAGAATGTGTTTTGGATGTGTTGACGGTGTGTTGACGCTTCTGTCATGTGTTGACGCTGTGTTGACGCTGTGTTGACGCTGTTTAGTGCGACCCGCCATGAACGCTGGAGACATGGGTCGCACTAAACAGCGTCAACACAGCGTCAACACAGCGTCAACACATGACAGAAGCGTCAACACACCGTCAACACATCCAAAACACATTCTGAATTGACAAAAAGGGCATATAATTGTGAAACATACAATAAAAGAGAATTTCCATTGGATTGAGTTTCCATTTCGTTGTTAAAAATATCGTATTTTCACGCGAAAAAAATGACCTTAACTTGCACGGCCGTTGTCCGCCATCTTGACTTCGCACAAAGCTTGGACTACACCATTTCAAGTAGGGGTGTGTAGGTAATGACATTATCTTGTCATAAACAACAGAGGGCGCCTTGATGCAGACTAGACAGAGGGATACCAGATCTGTGTGAGGACTAAGGATCGGAGGAGTGGTAGATCATTATTTTGTGAGTTGTGTTTATGTTTTGGTCTTTGCAGATATTTTTAACACTGGCGACCCCGGCCGCATCCCTCTCTGTTGGTTTATTGTACAACGCTATCACCCTTTAGAATAATGGTATGGTCCGCGCTGCCACTGAGGCAACATGGCGGGTGTTCGGCAGCCGATTTCGGAGCGGCACGGAGAGCCAATTTTTTTGAACTAAAAATCGCGATTTTCAGACGTTTAACCTATTGATTTTAAGCACAAATCTTGTTTCTGTCCATACTGTATGGGTTACATACTGCTTTTGTCAATTTTAATGCATTTTGGATGTGTTGACGCTGTGTTGACGCTGTGTTGACGCTTTGGAGTGTGTTGACGCTGTGTTGACGCTGTTTAGTATGACCGGGAGACATAACTACGGCGTGAGAGTGTGATCTTAACTTAAGACTTAAGAGACCCTTCCAGAATGACCCCCCAAAATTGTCCTTTTTCACCTCCCCAGATTCCATTTACAAGTCGGCTCGTCCTCATGATATCAACTTGTCTCAACATGTAATTGACAATATTCCAATCAACAGGGTCTCTTCACTGAAGACTTCAGCCAAGTTTCTGTAATCTGGGTGTCATCATCGATCAAAACCTTTCCTGGTCCGAATACATTTCTTCAATCACCAAAATCATCTCTCGAAACACTGGCGTTCTTTCTAAACTTCGTTTCTTTCTTCCAGCCACCTCTCTGATCTTACTTTCTAACACACTTATTCTCCCGTATCTAAATTACGGTAATATAATGTGGGCGCGTACCAGCAATAAGAAACTGAACGCTTTGGCTGTCGCACAAAAAAAGGGCCATTCGCATTTGCACTCTATCACATCCTCGGGACCACTCTGCACCTCTCTTTGCACACCTACGCATCCTCACTCTTACTGACATCAACAAATTGCACACTGGGATCTTTATGTACAAATTTACTAACAATCTTCTCCCTCGCACATTCTCCTCATACTTCACCTCAGTTCATGAAATTCATGATTATTCAACAAGATCCCGCAATCTGTTTGTTCCCTTCACTCGCACCTTGTATTCTATCAACACCCTTCGGTTTTACGGTCCTCGTTTATGGAATGCCATCCCCAATGATATAAGAATGGAGTCGTCCGTGGGTCGATTTAAGATCCCTTATTAAACGAGTCCTCCTCTCCCATTATGTAACATAGTTTTATTTCTCTCCTTTATATCTCTCCTTTATTTCTCTCCTTGTTTATTCACATTTGAAGTCGTCATCGGTTTTTGAATTGATAATTTTTGTTCTTATTTTTTTGGTTCTTTTTGCCGTTAGCTATCGTGGTGTAAGTCTTTTGTCTTGTCTGTCGCACGCGTCCGTGTGTCGTTATCATGTTGTTTTTCTGTTGTTATTGTTGTCTGTAAGGGCTGTTTCCTACAAGCCTCGGCTAACTTAAACAGCCCCGTACTCCTTAGTTCTTTTGTACATAAATCGAAATAAGTTTAACATTTCGTCATAGCGTATCTTACTGGTATTAATTTTCTTTTTTTTGAGACATATTTATTGATTTTGTTATCTTGTTGTTTACCAGATTTCTTTTTTATTGATGGATGTATTCTCTAACATGTCTAAAGGAGTATGGAATAAATGTTTTCTTGAATTGAATTGAATTAAACATACCTCACACCATGATTCAGCAGTTAGTCAGTCACCATGTTCACGAAGCTAATGATCGACTTGAAACAGAACCAAAAAAAACCTAAAGTAAAATGTGAAAATGTTGACGATTTCGGCGGTGTGTCCTTAAAAAACGTCCAGTTCCAACGGCTGTCGTCCATCTTGTTTTGCTAAGTATGCAAATGAGATGCATCACGTGTTAGCCCCATAAATGTGGCCAATTTACTGGACTACCTCCGTAAATAAAGACCACACTTTCACCATGTACAAAAACATGTCGAACTTTGTCAAATTTTGATTTTCACATTTAGGCTTTGTTTAAAGTTTATTTTTGCTTTAAAAGCATACCCATCCTCTTTATAGGCTAATCAGAAAGTGCTGCCTTTTTCAGATGTCTATTTTTTGTGAAATTTCTTGTTGAAATTTTGATACGCAAATGTGTGCAAACAAATCTGGAAATTTCACGAAAAATAGAAAAGAGTGAGTAAAGTTGGTCTGATTTGGTTTTGCACGTTTCAGAGCATCCGGGCCCTGTCTGGTGCTGTGCAGGCTCGTCACGTGGCCTGCTGGTTGGCCTACACATTATAGACTGTGCGTGATGGACAGCAAACCACAAGCGTATTCTTGCTGTGGATTGACATTGGTCGTACCGAGCACAGTAACTGTGCATTAATATTTGGTAATCCTTACTTTTAGAACACCTCTATTTACATTACGAGCTCCGTTGGAAACTAACTTTTGGAGTTGACTTTTCAGTACCAAAATGACTCTCCCAGACTAAAGCAGTCTTGTTTCTACAGATAAACTCATGTTTGTTGTAATTTTTGAAACACACTTTCACAGAAAAGGTGACTTTCCTACCTTTTTTGGCAGTCGAAAACATGGGAAATGTGCCGTGACTGTCGCGTTGCACTTTGACGTCTGCTGTGATGAGTGCGCGATAGCGAGGCTGGTGTTCCCAGTTGTGGACTCACCCCCTTTGCTACAGTCAGTATAGATCTGTAGGCCTATGCTACAGGTGAATTGGTCTTTAAACCAATCACAAACCGTCTCTTTAAAGGGAATATACAACATTTGTTAACATCGAAAAATAAAACTATCAAGTTTTTACGAAATACCTTACTTGGATGTTGGTAAATGACAGTCAAAAGCATCCTGTAAAATTACGGCTCCTGGTGTGAAGTCATTTTCAAGAAATTGGTATTTTTGTATACATTTCCAACAGTGGTCGGCCGATCACCGTTGGAAAAACCTAACTATTGTTCAACTTCTGCTTCAAATTTACCATTTTTCAGTCCAAATTTTGTTTGCTATTGGAACATGTTCATGAACGGGTGCAGGCCAGCTACACTGGTTCCCTTACCTTACAATTTTCCGGCATCTATAAATTGATCCATTTTATCCTTAGTGGAGTCAGGGAACCAGACTACTTGAACATTTTTCGTTTTTCTTGGTTTTTCCAGCATTTTCGAACACAAAACTTCAAACATGGCAGTGTTACAATATTTTTATCTATTATACTAACCCTTCAAGTAGTTCATTTCTGAAAATTACAGCAAAAGCCAATGATGTACATTCCCTTTAAACACTTAAACTCTTATCCTCCGATCAAAAATCTTCTTTCATACAACACTTATGAATATTCATACATGTAACTATCCATTTTTTGGCGCTTCGGCTATTCCATCTCAAAACCCTACTCCCCCTGTTATGGCCAATCCGAAGCCAAGCAATTTTTCCATAGCAAAAATTAGCCAATCAGAATCATTGGTGGCATTGGTCGCCATTTTGTTGTTTTCGTCTCGTGCGGGTAGTCTTCGTTGCCGTTTTACCCCATAATTTCCCTCATAAATCAAAACCCTGCCCTCTTTCCACAAATTAAGCTTGTTCATATTCAACATGGTATTTTAGCGAACTATGTAGATGATTTTCAGCACACAGAGTGACTTTTCCTGCTTGTATCATTGTAAAATATTGAGGTAAGGCCTGAAACATAAAGTGTCTCCTTCGTTCTCTTATATGGAACAGGGTCCTAAAAGTAAGGATTACCAATATTGCACCGCATGATTTTCTGAACTGTTTTGGTTTGATGCTTTTTTTTTTTCAGGGTTTTTTTCCCCGCAAGATGGCTTAACTGACCTGACCCAACCCGTAAATCGCAAATGCAATTTTGGGTCGGGTTTGCACGACATAAGTATGCCTAAAGGAGCAACTTTTGTCGAGTCTAACTAACAAGACAAAATCAGTTTTCTTTCTATAATTGCTTGCAACAGATCAAGCTGTACACACGAGCTGGAGCGCTGAAGTATCAGACGGACTGCGCCCCCAACAATGGCTACTTCATGATCCCAATCTATGACAAGGGAGACTTCACACTGAAGGTGGAACCACCGCAGGGGTGGAGCTTTGGTAAGAAACCGGGAGGGGGGGGGTGCCTTTTGCCCAAAAAAATATGGAAATCCCCTTTTTCTAACTATGTGTTGAATGCATTACAGCCTTGCCTTGCCTTGTGTTAATTAATTATTTTTCCTCTCTCTCTCTCAAAAAAAACGACAACCGATTTCACTATCTGTGGGTGAGGCATTGTACAATTTTGTGGGCACGTGTGGTCTAGCGGTAGGGCACAGGATGCATGATCGGGACATTGTGGGTACAAGCCCCGCCGTGGCCATGGGTGTTGTGCCCTTGAGTAAGGCGCTTTACCTCAATTACTCCTCTCGACCCAGCTGTTAAATGGGTACCGGCATTATTCAATGCTGGGAAGGTAACAGACTCGTCGCTGTGGAGGAGGTGTGGCGATCCCCCCACAGCAGCATTTCATGGACTCGAGTCTGGCCCAATCGCTACCAATGAGAGATGGGCACTCCGTTCCTGTGAACACAGGTTCATCCCCCAATTATAAAACAAATATTGAGTGCTTTAACTGAAAATAATGTAGTAAAACTACATGTAGCCTTCCTCAGTGATCCATGGAACATTCCAATTCTCTCAGCTGCGCAACAGAACGCTCCATGGATCACCTCGGCCGGCTAGTTTGACCAAATAAGCAGTCAATATTTGTAAAATACATTTTTGTACACCTGCGGTCACTACATGGCAGATTGATCCAGTGGCAGAGTTGCAAATGTTTGAATGTGACAAGAAGCTTATAAAATTAATGTTCACAAGTGTAGCAAGCTAGTAATATTGCCGTGAGAACTTTTCTTTGCATATTTATATTGTGGATTTTTTTCTATTGTTGCGAAATTACACAGACCTAATATTGCTTATCGATTATTGATTAATTGCTAATTGATTATTGTAATCTTCTATACGTGTACATTACATGCATGCACGCAGCGATGACTTGTGCGTGCGCGCTTTGAGCACAGCGCACCTGCACCGACGATGTGCGCAAACGTACATGTACATGCTGTGCATGATTTAGAATGCCATGCCAACCGCACGAGCATGTTTAATTATGCTAGCGCCCTCTTTTGGCGAAGCGTACATGCTTTGCCACGCTACATGTTTGCTCGTACCCCTTGCCCTGCAAACAGGACGCTGGGATACTCTGATGAGCTTCACAGAATCTTGTGAAGGAAGTGGCCTATGACCTATAAGCATCTAGCAGCAGCTGTTCAAAACCGCAGTTAGACAATGTGCGCAAATGCTATCCGAAAACTTCCCATAGAATCGCGCACATTCCATACCGGATGTGATTTCGGTTTCATTGCGGACCATGTGGACAACATTTTGAGCGTCGCATAATGCAATCTGACCGTTCGTGATTCGAAACGGAGCCTAGGCGAGTGACGGGAATTGTAAATTTACAACACAGATAAGTTTTACAGAATTTCCTACATTATAGGTCTAACGCTTTTCAACGAGGAAAAAAACATCTCTAAACTGGAATAAAAGAGTAATGAATCAGTTCTTAACGGCTGTTTCAAACCTTGCAGAGTCATGACCTTTATGACGCGCAGGTCACTTGTCACGCAGAATCCAACCAATTAGAGCGTGAATTCATCAGAGTATCCCAGCGTCCTTAACCATAACTCCCCAGCATGATCTACTAGGAACCACACCCATCCTGGCAAATTCCAACACCCACATGGGAAACTGCACACACATATTTCTGACTTAGTTTCTGGAGGTGTGCCAACCCAATGTAAAAGACTCTCAGTTTAGGGATACTGTACCCATCCAGACAGATTCCAACAATACATGCTGTTGGGGTTTGATGGGTTGAGTTCAGTTAGGGTTAATTTACAGAATTATGTTGTAGTTATTATGATAGAATTATTTTTTTTTTCTTTTATGCCATTTATAAATACTGTTTTAAAAAAAGATGCACCTTACAAGATAGGAACTCGTGAGTTGCTGTTCTGATTTTGAAGCGGTCGGGCCTGTGTCCGATTAGCGGTGATGCAAAAGTTGCACTAAGGTGATTAATCTGAGTGATTGTTCCCTTTGTGTCTCTCCCAACGGACGAACTCACCACAACATCCTGAGAAATTAACTCTCACACCAAGTAAAACTGTCGGCCAGTTTTGACGTTTGACCTTTCATTTTGTACAGAGCCCACCAGCGTTGATCTGCACATCGACGGCGAAACGGACAAGTGCAGTCGGGGCGAAGACATCAATTTCAAGTTCACGGGCTTCATGCTCAGCGGAAAGGTAAGCGTCAGAGACGGCTCCGTTCAGAGATGCCAACCTTTACGATTTAGGCGTAACTTAGGCCAGCCCTCAAATTAGAATCACTCCCCGGACCGTTCGGGGTTGAGCCCGCCCAGTATGTCGAAGGGATTGGGACTAAGGATGGAACAGATCTGGCCTGGATTAACTCCACCAGGCTTCTGCACCTGCTCTGGCTCATCACAAAGGAACCAATTTGCTAATCCTCTCAGTGACTGTGAGCTTCAAAGAGTTTGCCGCTGGTAATCCAGCATATCATTGCCTTTGTGTACTAATAAAATGTTTACTAATACTATAATCCTCCAACAATGGCCAGACTTCAATCTGTGTTGCCTATTGTTCAAACCCTGAGTCACCAGTTTGGACCGATGGGGGCATCAGGCTTCAGTAACCGTGTGGCTTCTGGCTTCATACCGATCGGGGTGAAAGGGATTGGCCTACCGGGCCCGGTACCCAAGCGGATTGCTGGCCTTATACGATTTATACGATATCTTCTCAATAATAATAATAATAATAATAGTGGGTATTTGTAAAGCGCATGTATCCACCAGGACTGGTGCTCAAGGCGCTACATCATTATTACCCCTGCTCATTGGGCACATGAAACATTCCAAATACCATCTCAGCTCCCTGGGGAGTATACAGCTCAATGCAGCCTGTTAGGCGCAATGAAGCTAATTCAATCACAATAACCATCTCTGCCCTCACAGGTACCCATTTACTCCTGGGTGGAGAGAAGCAATGAGTGACAAAGTGCCTTGCCCAAGGGCACTCGCACCATGACCCCAGGCTGGACTCAAACCCACAACCTGCAGCTTTACCCGCAGACCACGAATCCAATGCCCTTAACCATGAGGCCACAGCACTCCGCACAGTTTACATGTTTCAAAAATTCTGTTTGGTAAAATGCTACTCAGATTATCAGTGAATGATTGACTATTTCGGATATTCGATACACCCCTATTATATTGCAGACTTTCGAAACAGAGATTTGCGGTATTCCTATGTCTGCGCTGGTTTCTTGATTTTGTATTTGATTAACCAACCTTGTTTTGTCTGCATCTCATTTGCATAACAGGTGCTGAGCAAGGGCCAATCAGAGGGGCCGGCTGGTGTGTCAGTGTCATTACAAAGGAAGGGAGGTGACGCGGCCGTGGTCCAATCACAGACGTCGGCAGGAGGAGGGTAATTAGTGACTTTTTCAGGAATATTTTACATTGCCCTCCCATTTTTTTAATAAAAGTACATGTATGTGGTGCTTACATGTATACTTTATACCAAAGGTCTCAAAGTTCTTCATTATTACCCCTGTTCATCAGGCCATTAGACCAGTTTTTGCAGCAGCTCGAGATACACGCATTCTGGTCTGTACATATGTACATGTACCTTCACAGGTACCCATTTATACTCCTCGATGGAGAGAGGCAGTTGTAGTAAAGTGTCCTGCCCAAGAACACAAGCACCATGATCCCCATCAGGGTTCAAACGGTGCTCTTCTTATAAAAGAAATGATAGATGGAAACTGATTGCATGCAGGCTCAATTTTAAAGATGTCCTTTCCGTCCGAGTTTTATCTGAAAAAAATTCTTGAAATACAAAAGTTTGAACGTACTGTGGGCCCACTTTTAAAAAAATCACCTTCAATGATTGGTTTCTTCCAAATGATACCATATCAGGCCAAATAATTTCACAGGGTATTTGGTACATGTACCAGTTCCTATCCGCACTTTAAGCAATGCTATTTTCCCGTTAACCCAGTATGTTTGATTATGAGGATATCACCAATGTTTCTAGTCAATTGAATATCCCTTGCACAGCAAGAGTCTATAATATGCGAGCAGATTCGGCGATTAATTATGCAAAACTGCATCTTGATCTGGAGATTCTGACCATTCAGCGGGCGCCATCTATCGGGTCTTCTAATGGAAACTCGTTGTTGTATTACAAAACATGTAAATTAATGTAACCAATCAACAGCTTTAATAGTCCACATTTTTTAATGAAATGACGTCACAGTTTCTCAAACTCGACTCAGATTGGCTGGTGCGCGGGGTCGCATGAAATATGCATGTTAGAATATAATTAGACGTTCATCGTTTGGCTCTTCACACATGAATGTCTGATGTATCCTCAGACTACAATGTTACAGTGTTCCTTATTGATATGCAAGGTTTATGTGTCACTATCAAATTCCCTCTCATTTGTTTGAGCAGCTACACCTTCAAGCAGGTTTTGCCGGGAGAGTACACCCTAGAAGCCACCCATCCCAAATGGACATTTGTTAAGGTCAGTATTGTACATGGATCTTACTGAAGTCGCTTAACCCTAACTCCCCAGCCTAATTTACTAGGAACCATACCCATTCTGGCAAATTCCAACACCACAAGGTTGGACTTAGTTTCTGGAGGTATGCCAACACCAGTGTAAAATACCATCAGTTTAGGGGTACTGTACCTATCCCAACAGATTCAAACAAAACCTGCTGTTGAACTTTGATGGGTTGAGTTCGGTCAAGGTTAATCCCTTAAACCAGCCCATTCTGCCCTCAGAAAATAATCTAATCATTTAACCCCAACTTCCTAGACCCTTTTGCTAGGATGTAACCTCAATCCTGCAAAATCCTCCAACTGCCACCATGAATGCATGAAGCCTCAAACCTGCAAAATACGTCTTTATTTCTAGATTGTGGTCCTTGGAGGGGTGACCACTGCCTCAATCCTGCAAAATCCTCCAGTAATAACAGTCAATATGTTGAGGCTGAGCCAGTGAGATCCTGGAGCAGTACGGAGGAATTCAAGTATAATCTGGGCCTAATTTTTTTCACAGCTGAGCAAAAACAACACAATATGGCCTAAGACCTTGACACAAGTGTATCCTGCGAAATCAGTAACGATGGTTTGCCATGTAGCCTCAATCCTGCAAATTCCTCCATTGAGGCTATATGCTATTTTTGCATGAGGCCAATAATTGGATGATTTGCAGGATTGAGGCTACATTCTAGTAAAAAATTTACCCAAAGGAAAAACATTGGTTTATTTGTCTAAATTCAACACAAGTGGATCAATTGTGCTGAATAGGATGGCCCAATTAATGACAAAAGAGGTTTTTCCTCCGAACCATCAACTTTAAGAGAAATAGGTATCAAATCAAATGTCTTAATCCTGTTTTGTTGTTCTACAAGCCAGTTAATGTACCTATCACCATAGTCAGTGACAAAAGTAGTTTGTCAGTTCAGCACACCATATCAGGCTATGATGTCACAGGCCATGCATATTCATGATGCATTGCGAAAGCCAATCATACGTTTCAATTATGTGTTCTTGTTCTGCAGGCCAGTATACCAATCACCATAGCCAGGGACAGTAGTTTGCCGGCTCCGCCCATTATCATCTCCGGCTATGATGTCACAGGTCATGTGATGAGCGAGGGAGAGCCAATCAAGGACGTGCATTTCCTCCTGTTCTCGGATACTGTATCTAAGGAAGTGAGTGAAGTAAAGATCCATTGAATGCTTCAAACCAATACCAAGAGCTACATTACTATTACCCATGATCATTGGGCCTATACAATTTTTATAACAGTATTGATAATAATAAATTTAACCCTCCAATGCAAGCAAGCATCCGGTACAACTTTGTCCTTTCAGTCAAAATCAATCAAGTGACTGTTTTATTAGTTACGAGCTCCCAGCCTACACAAAGCAGGATTGACTGGCTGTGACTGTTTATGCAACTTGATCCAGCTATGTTTTGACCATACAGACGATTGATAAGATAGCTGTGCTTACCAGTTGCTTGCTTTTGTCTGTTGACTGACTTTGTCCGTTCACAGTGCTTGCTTGAAATCTGATCTGACTGTTGGTGACAAGTCTGTGTAGAAGGCATGGAAGAAAAAGAGGATTGATTTGTTTGACTGTCTGTGACTGTTCAGACAGCAGGAGGGTTAAGCTTATTCCTGAATCAAATGTAACTCCCAAGGATGTGTTGCCTGTGAATTGGTACCGGTTCTTTATTTGAGTGTTTGGACAGATATTTTTAGCAAGAGATGCAAGAAATGTAAAAGAATTTAACTTCGACGTTGGCTGACACGTGCCTGTAAGACCTATCTGTTTTCATTATTTTCCCAGACCAGATCAACTTTTTTAACTCCCAATGTTTGCTTTCTTCAAGGATGTTACCCAGTGCGACACAACCCCAGTTAAAGGCTACACCAACGCGCAGGGCAAGACGCCGCTGTGCAGCGTAACATCCACCGAGGAAGGGAAGATATCGTTTCCAAGTCTGCCCAGCGGCCAATATACGATGGTAGTACTAACAATCAAATTTTGAATTGATAATTGTGTTAAACCTTGAAGTAGTCAGTTAGGAGTGCGTATACGGTAGGCTTATTGAGCAAGTCAAAATTTGAATCCATTTTGAGATGGAACCAGGCTCGTGTGCAGGTGTTCCTTCGACCAATTGGGTTACCAGACTGCAGTCACGCCTCGACTTAACCACTTCGCGCCAGCTTTATTTTTGCAGAAAATTTCAAAATTTTCAAAAGGCAAAATTTTCAAGGAAACTTCTGATATACAGCCAAACGCCACTAATACTGATTCACAAGAGTGGTTTCAACAGTATTTGTAAGCTATTTCCTGCTGAAATCTCATATGTTTCAGTACTCCGGGGTGTGCACTGGAGCATAAATTGTACAACAACGGCCCACACAACGATCAGCACACGCCTGCACAGACTACACACTCATATTTGTGTCCTCGTTGAAAGATATCTTTGTTCTTGTTTACAAAATTGGTCGTGAGAGGGTCGAAAGCTATTTTCAAAATGCTCCTATTTTAACCAGATTTACTTTCCTGGGTTGAAATTCCCACCAAACATACCTTACAAAAATACTTTAATTTGTGACAGATAGGTATACCTTGGAAATTCCTATTTTTGAGTAAAATCCATATAATCTATTTTGTGAAACCTATTCACCTTTAGAAATTGCCTCGTGGAGACCTTTACAATCTTTTGTTCCGCCATATACCCAGGTCTCCACAAGGCATCATTTTTTTTTCGAAGCACAGACTTGGTGTACAAAAGGCACGAGGGATAACCGGGTTTAGCCTCACCCGGAGGCGAGTCGAGGTAATCTCGACGTCTTAATCCATCAACCATGCCTGGATACAAAAAACAGCCAGTGCGTGGAATCAGCCTCCGGCCTGAAGTGGTTAAAGAATGCATGTGACAGTTGTGCAATCGTAACTTCACCTCAAAAACGCCTTCAAATTTTGTTTACTATAAGCTTCAAGAGCAAACTAGGGCCCAGTTTCATAAACCGCAATAACTGCAGAATTCCGAGCTTAGGATCAACATTCTGTGCTAAACAGCGCAGAAATTCTGTGCTAATTTCACAGGGCTGCTCAGCACAAACATTTGCTTAGCACAAAAAAAGGTTGGCTTATAAATTTCCATGTGATGTATATTGTTTGTGATTGGTAATAAGCTGTTGTTTGCTTAGCATGAAAATCACATGGAGTTTTGGCTGGTAACCTGCTTTTATAAGCCAGACTTTTTTAGTGCTAAGCAAATTTTTGTGCTTAGCAGCGCCGTGAAATTTGCCCCTTGACGGCACAAAATCTTTGGTTACGGGACACAGGCATGTGCACAGGCCAAAATTCCTTGTTAACCTGCGAAATATGCTTACCGTAAGCCCGTAGTTGTCTGCTACAGTAAGTGGGTATTTTTCATTAATAGTAAGCAAAGCCATAAAATTTGGCACAGATCCGCAAAAACAGATGTCAACCATCTTTGAACTTAAAACTGTACAACCCAGTCTGAAGACTTTTGCCATTTGTTGTTCTGTACACAATAGAATTGTGTAGATACAAATTAATCCAATGTAAAACATTTTTATCTTGTCGAAGGTTCCATTCTACCAGGGTCAACACATCACCTTTGATGTCATGCCAACATCCATGGATTTCAGTGTAGCTCACGACAGCGTCACTTTACCGGTACGTTCACCTAACCCTGCTAAATGCAACGAATGCAACAGCAGTAAAAAGATGTTGCATCTTGTTGCATTTAGCAGGGTAACTGCTCATAGTACCCAAGGCGATACAAGAGTATTCACTGTTGCAGTTTGTTGCATTTAGCAGGGTAACTTCTCATAGTACCCAAGGCGATACAAGAGTATTCACTGTTGCAGTTTGTTGCATTTAGCAGGGTAACTGCTCATAGTACCCAAGGCGATACAAGAGTATTCACTGTTGCAGTTTGTTGCATTTAGCAGGGTAACTTCTCATAGTACCTAAGGCGATACAAGAGTATTCACTGTTGCAGTTTGTTGCATTTAGCAGGGTAACTGCTCATAGTGCCCAAGGCGATACAAGAGTATCCGCTGTTGCAGTTGGTTGCATTTAGCAGGGTAACTTCTCATAGTACCTAAGGCGATACAAGAGTATTCACTGTTGCAGTTTGTTGCATTTAGCAGGGTAACTGCTCATAGTGCCCAAGGCGATACAAGAGTATTCACTGTTGCAGTTTGTTGCATTTAGCAGGGTAACTTCTCATAGTACCCAAGGCGATACAAGAGTATTCACTGTTGCAGTTTGTTGCATTTAGCAGGGTAACTGCTCATAGTACCTAAGGCGATACAAGAGTATTCACTGTTGCAGTTTGTTGCATTTAGCAGGGTAACTGCTCATAGTACCCAAGGCGATACAAGAGTATTCACTGTTGCAGTTTGTTGCATTTAGCAGGGTCACTGCTCTTAGTGCCAAGGCAATACAACATAGTCCTCTGTTGCATTTGGTTGCATTTAGCAGGGTAACTGCTTGGTGCCAAGGCAATACACAGAATCCTCTGTTGCATTTGGTTGCATTTAGCAGGGTAACTGCTTGGTGCCAAGGCAATACACAGAATCCTCTGTTGCATTTGGTTGCATTTAGCAGGGTAACTACACAATGCAACAGAATCCACCCTTCCAATTTGTTGCATTTAGAAGGGTTCTCATTTGAGTTGAGTTGGAGGGGGCATGGGGGCATTTGTGACATCTGTGACATTTGTGACCTGCCATAGCATAATGAGGAATAACCCCCACCTTTGAATTTTCACGTTATGTACATAATGTTACAGCGCAAATCATTGGCTTTCCCATGATACCATTTATTCCTGTAGCTTAATTTATTCCAAAGATATGACGCAGGAACTACAACAATGTCTCTGTTTCTTTTTATATGGAGTCAGGGAACCAGACTACAGGAAAATGATTGTTTTTTTGTTGGTTTTTATAGCATTTTCGAACCCAAAACCTCCAAAAAGTCAGTGTAACTATATTTGCTATATATTTCCAACCCCCCAATTCCATCCATTTCTGAAAATTACAGCAAAAGCAAATGATGTATATTCCCCTTAAGACAAATGATAGAGACTGAAATGAGACCTGTCAATGTTTGGTTGCAAAGTACATGTATATTAAAATGCACCCTCGTACCTTTAGATGCGATTTTCCCAGATAAAATAGACATTCACATTCAGACTTTGCAAATTACGACCAGTTTAAAGAAAATATTATCTCCAAAAGCATGCATTTACAATATTATTATAGCTGGTTGACTACCATTCTTAAACCTAAAGAAATATAAATTACTGACTTCTTCTTATGATGATTATATAAAAACAACTCTCCAGGATATATACCACCCCTAAATTTCAACTGCCGGTTGGATTTTGAAAAAGGCTGGACCATTTTTATTTTATTATTGTATAGTGCCGTTTGTTTTTTTTCTTTCTTTTTCTTGTTTTCACAATCTGAAAATGTTAATGTGATTTTAATGTTAAGTATGCTTTTAAATGTATTGTTCATCTTTTTGGTCAAAATTTGTGTGTGTGTAATTTTAATTAATAATGTTTTAATGGTGTTTTTATATAAGTGATAACTTTTAATCTTTATACATTGAACCGCAATTCGGTCTTTTGACTGCAAGAGTTCGATAAAAAATCAATGAAATGAAATGAAATGATATTTATGTCAACAGACGACGTTCAAAGTGGAAGGATTCTCTGTCTCAGGACAAGTCTTGGACTCTGAAGGGGTGAGATTTTGTTCATAATATTAACCCGATACCTTTCCAAACCCTCAAAAATCAACTTTACAAAATGAAGGAATTTTGCAGGATTGAGGCTATACGGCAAAAATGTGTGGCTGATTTTGGAGGATGCACTGTGTCCAGGTCTTAGGTCAGACTCTGTGTTGTATATGCTTAGCAGTTCTGACCTTTAGGCCTAGATTAAACTTGAAATCCTCCGCACTGCTCCAGGATGTCACTGGCTCTGTCTTAACATATTGACAGTGATTGCTAGGGGATTTTGCAGGATTGAGGCAGTGGTCACCCCTTTAAGGACCACTTTCACAAAATATCGGAGGATTAAAGGATTGAGGCTGTATGCAATTTTTACATGGAGGCAGTTGGAGGAGTTTGCAGGATTGAGGTAGCATCTGAGCAAAAGTGCCTAGGGAGTTGAGGTCAATTCGCTACGAGATTGACTGAAATCACAATTCTCTCCTTAATCTTGCATACGTTTGCCTTTGTAATTTCTGTGAACAAAGGGGAAAGGCATACCAGGAGTCAAGGTCAAAGTTCAAGACAGGTCAGAGGTCACCAGCAAAGTCGACGGAACGTACCAACTGGTCAAGATTACGTCGGGGACCTATGTGCTGACGGCCAGCAAAGACAATATCTTCTTCGAGCCGGAAACGATGAAAATCAATCCCAATACACCCAGACTGCCTGATATTATAGCTTCAAGGTACATTCGATATTATACAAATAATGAATGTTTGTGAGTGCAATGGTAAGAATAATTTCATGAGGTGACTGATGAAATGTTCCATTCCACGAGGCGAAGTCGAGTGGAATGGAACATCTCATCTGTCACCTCATGAAATTATTCTTTCTATTGCGCGAACGTGAAACATTCATTATTTGTTTTATATAACACCTGAATAAATCCTCGTCATCTGATTGGTTGACTTTTAATAGCCAATTTATTCAAGTTAAAAATTGTTTACAAGTTTGACAAGTTCAGAGTTATCATATTTAATTTATGCAAACTGTTCAACAGGTTGAGATCTATCATATTCAATTGATCTTAATTTAAAACTTTTCCATAAGTTTAGAACTTAAACAGTTTAATAAGTCCAGAACTTGTATTGCCAATTTAAACACCACAGCGCCACCATCGGCAACATGTGCAGTGACAGTGCAATGGTACTTCTAATCACAGTGCAATAGTACTTCCATTGCACTGTGCGCTGCGCGCCACGCGCGCGCCGTGCATTGGTACGAATAATTCAATGACATGTGATCAACGATCCACCAATCAGATGATCCCAATTGACCATCGCACTTGTTTGCAATCGATTACACACCTATGAATGGGTACAAGCCAGCTAGACTGGTTCCCTGACCTTACAATTCCCCAATGTATGTAAACTGCTCTGTTTCTTCTTATATGGAGTCAGGGAACCAGACTACAGGAAAATGATTGTTTTTCTTTGTTTTTATAGCAATTTTCGAACCCAAAACCTCAAAAAAGTCAGTGTAACTATATTTGCTTTTATATTTCCGACCCCCAATTCCATCCATTTCTGAAAATTACAGCAAAAGCAAATGATATATATTCCCTTTAAAGCCCTAGACACTTACAAGGTACTTACTGTAATACACTTGAGCTGTCCGTAATATATCAATTGCCGCACACAAATTTGAGCTGGAACGCTTTGCATGCAATTTTTGACCAGCGCGGCAAACAGTTGCAGCAGGCATGTGTTGAAGTTGATCAGGGAGTTCTGAATAATCCAATGTTCATACAGGCACATCAAAATTAGAAAGTTTCCAGAAAGAGAGAAAGTCTCAGGCAGTATTGGTGACCTTTTTTTTTTATTGTGAACGATAGTATAACTGGTGAGAAGTACGTTATTTTTACACAAATCAAACTTTACTGGTTTTTCCTGACGTATTGAACAATATTGTTGCTCTTCATCAGAAGTTATAGTCTTGTCGTTAGGTGGTGCAAGCCAGACAATGGTCTTACACGTGACTAAGCATGTATCACCCCCCCCCCCTTGTCCTTATTCATGGTCTCGGTCTTCCTAATGCCAGTAGCCTCTTTCATGTACGAAGTTTGAACAATTCACCCCAAACAAAGAGATTTCAGATATTTTGGATTCATATTGTCAGACAAATCCTTCATTACAAAAAACATCCCGTTTAAAGGGAATATACATCATTTGCTTTTGCTGTAATTTTCAGAAATGGATGGAATTGGGGGGGTTGGAAATATATAGCAAATATAGTTACACTGACTTTTTTGAGGTTTTGGGTTCGAAAATGCTTTAAAAACCAAGAAAAACAATCATTTTCCTGTAGTCTGGTTCCCTGACTCCATATAAGAAGAAACAGAGCAGTTTACATACATTGGGGAATTGTAAGGTCAGGGAACCAGTCTAGCTGGCTCGTACCCGTTCATAGGTTTGTAATCGATTGCAAACAAGTGCGATGGTCAATTGGGGCCAGTATTTGAAGAAAAAAAACCAGTTGTTTCCAACGCTGATCGGCCGATCAGCGTTGGAAATTGATACAAAAATACCACTTTTCTTGAAAATGACAGTATACCATGTGCCATGATTTTACAGGATGCTTTACACTGTCATTCACTAACAGTCTAGCAAGGTATTTCAAAATGATTTGGTAGTTTTATTTTTTGATGTTTGCAAATGTTGTATTTTCCCTTTAATCTTGACTTCCATAGATTTAGCCTCTGTGGACGCCTAGTCATCGATAAGATGCCACCAACACTGCCCTCTGGAGGCAAGAGGAGGGTCAGTCTCGTACCCGAAGGAGGCTCGGCTAAGGACACCGTCTCCATAGCGACGGATAGTGAAGGCGCTTTCTGCTTTAAAGTGAAACCGGGCAGTTATGTCATGCAGGTACGTTTTTTGGTTGTTGAAACACTGTCAAATAACTACTTTAAAAAAAAAAAAAAAGTTGCAAAGGAATTTTTGACTTAGAACAGATTTTTTGATTTGCTTGGGACTGCATTTTTAACCCTACCCCTCAATTCTCCAAAATTCAACCAGGCACTTTTGGACGATTTTGGAGGATTGAGCCTTTGTACCTGTAAAGTGCCCGTTTGATTTGTGAGGATGCATTGTGTTATGGTGTGTAATAGCTATACCTTGCATAATAGTAATTCGATTCAATTTGATTTTGATTTTGATTTGGTTTTCGATTTCAATTTCAATTTCTGTTTCTGTTTCTCTGTTTCTGTTTCTTTTTTTTATTCTGAATAAGGTCTATGCAGTTTATGCAGATGACTTTTACACCTGATGCATCATGTGGCATCTGGCAGTTAACCCTAAAAGGGCCGGGGGGGGGGGGGGGTAATCCGCCCCCCCCTCGACTTTTTCCGCGATAGCCTTTAAAAGAAATGTTTCACGACCCAAGCTTTTATGACTTTTTAGCCTCGAGCCTTACGCATCTTTTGACACCAAAAACATAAAAATCGGACAAGGGGTTGTCGCGCAGCGAAAAGTTTTCCGGCGCTATGCGCCGTGAAAACTGAATTTGCCCATATACGTCGTGTACACAGACCAGAATTGCCATTCATACATATGAATAATTAATTAGCCATAATTCCAAAACTCTCTGACCTTTGGTCATGAAATTTCTTGGGTATGTTTATGAAGAGTTGCTCTATGCATGTACCGAGTTTCAGAATTTTTCGTCACTCGATGGCCGAGATCTTGGGGGGGGGGCGGCAGAATGCCCCCCCCCCCCCCCCCGGAGAGAGGCAAGTAGGGTAAAGTGGCTGGCCCAAGGACACAACATATGGCCATCTGCTGGATTCGAACCCCTGACCCTCTGATCATGAGTAACAAACCCTAACCACTAGGCCACATTATCCCACATTGGCGTCTGACGTCCTGCAGGGTTGGGGTTAGTGGACTTGACTAAAACACTGCAGATTGGTTTCTTTCCATACCCAGAGGATGTCAAAAAAAAATCCAATGTTCATACTTTGTATTCTTGCCTGTTTCAGCCGACCCTCAGCAGTGAGGAAATGGCGGCCGGTCTGAAGATTATCCCGTCAGAGCAGAAGGTCCAGGTGAAAAATGCGCCAGTCTTCGGCATCAACTTCTCGCAATTCAAAGCAGACGTACGGGGAGTCATTAAATGCATTGGTGAGTGAAATTTGTAAATTTTTGAACTTCTGATTGGACTCTTTTCTCCATAAACAGGCAACCAATTTCCTCCCCTTAATCCTAACCCTCCAGGCTATTTTGGCTAGAAACCCTGCCAAACGCAGCAACATGCAACACTTGTCTAAAGTTACAAGCCTGCCCAGTGTAGCAAGATCCATCAGGTCAAAAGTCTCAAGGCCACAACTGCTTCAGTTGTCACCGAATGCAGCAGGATACAACTGTGGCATTGTTCTATGGGACTAGCTCTCATTGTCTCAGAAGCGGCCGTTTATGCACTGGTGTTGATAGCTGAATGCATCAAAGTGCACCAGACTTTTCCACCTGATGCACTGTGTTGCGTCTGGCAGGGTTAGGGTTACCTAAAACAATTTATTAGTTGCATGCAGTGGAATGACAGAATGTTGATTACAATATGGTTTATGTATCATGTTGGACTATATTTAGGGGAGAATGCAAAATTTAAAGGGAATATACATCATTTGCTTTTGCTGTAATTTTCAGAAATGGATGGAATTGGGGGGTTGGAAATATATAGCAAATATAGTTACACTGACTTTTTTGAGGTTTTGGGTTCGAAAATGCTATAAAAACCAAGAAAAACAATCATTTTCCTGTAGTCTGGTTCCCTGACTCCATATAAGAAGAAACAGATCAGTTTACATACATTGGGGAATTGTAAGGTCAGGGAACCAGTCTAGCTGGCTTGTACCCGTTCATAGGTGTGTAATCGATTGCAAACAAGTGCGATGGTCAACTGGGGCCAGTATTTGAAAAAAAAGCCAGTTTTTTCCAACGCTGATCGGCCGATCAGCGTTGGAAATTGATACAAAAAACCACTTTTCTTGAAAATGACAGTATACCTGGTGCTATGATTTTACAGGGTGCTTTACACTGTCATTCACTAACAGTCCAGCAAGGTATTTCAAAATGATTTGGTTGTTTTATTTTTTGATGTTTGCAAATGTTGTATTTTCCCTTGAACTAGCTGTAAACTCGTGGTCGATTCTGAGGTAACCCATTAAACCCTGTTAAACCTTGATGTAAACCTTGAGTTAATAAAATAATAATACTAATGTGGTGCTAATATAACGCTTTATACCAAAAATTTCAAAGCGCTTTACAATTATTACCCCTGTTCACTAGGCCATGAGACCAGTTTTTGCAGCAGCTTGAGATCAGCACAATCTGGTATCCCCCTCTCAGGTAACCCAGTTACACTCCTGGGTGGAGAGAGGCAATCGTACTAAAGTGTCTTGCCCAAGAACACAAGCACCATGTTCCCATCAGGGTTTGAATCAATGTACCGTGGCACGCGAGTCACTGAAACCATTGCAGCACAGCGCTTCTCTTTAGGTTGATCACCCCTTAAATAAGTTTTAGCATGTTCTCCCCATATGTGCTTGCACTTTTTTTGTACTTTTCCACTGAACTAAGTGTAAAAGGTGCCTTTCCCTAAAGGTTTTGTTCAAACATTTAATAGCAAAATTGAACATACTGAGTACTGTATTTTGTAAAATGACAGCCCTATTCATGACCGAACAAACGCGTTTTTTTTTACAGATGTTTGCGGAACGCTACAGATCACCCTTCATTCGGAGGCTGGGATGGAGGAGAGATCGCCGGCCCAGATATCCCAGCAGACTAAACAAGCCTCCTTCAAACTCAAAGATGTCCTGCCTGGAAAATACAAAGGTATTCAAATTATCATATGACCAAAAAACAAAAACCTAAGGCTGTGGTTTTGGTAACATTGTCAAAACAAAGGAGTGTCGTCGGCAGGTACTTTTTTTTGGTTTTGGGTTTTTGTTTTGTTTTTTGTTTACATATGCACGTACGTACACTGTACTTACACACCCATACTGAAATATGTATCCTTGTGGAGACATTTCTTTGTTCTCGTGCAGTAAAGTTTTCGAGTTTGAAAGTGAAGTTTTAAAAAGTTCTTATTTCAATTAGAATTAATTTCCTTGGCTAAAATTCGGACTTAATATCCCTTTCCTAAAACTCTTCCATTTGCGACTTATCAACCAACCTTGGAAATTCCTAGCTTTTGAGTAAAATCCATATATCTATTTTGTGAAAACCTTGTAGAGACGTATTCATCTATAGAAATTGCCCTGTGGAGACGTATACAATCTTTTGTTCCCTATTGTGTGCACGTCTCTAGAGGGCACGGTATATCAGATCACATATACTCTTGATTTACTATACTCGCGAGGACAATGCTTTGTGTTTCCCTTTGTCCCTGTAATATTACACTCTCCCATAGACTAAGCACACAACTTACTACAGAGGACTGTTTCCAACAAAAGACCCAACTCCCGAGGACTGAAAGGATCTGTTGTCCTCCCTTTGTGTGTCGGTCCTTGGGGTTATGTAGAACATGTACACATGTACACATACATACTTGAAAAAAAGGTACTTTATTGCATACATACAAGTATTCCAGATTTAAATTTTTTTTGGGGGGGGTCTTTTTACTTCCAAAAGTATACATGGAATAAAATTTTAAGAAGAAAAAAAGCCGGAAACATTCTTGGAAATGGACATGAAAATGGAATGAAGTCATGTTCATTTTGTTGTTTTTTGTGGTTGCAGTGTCCGTGATTCAGAATCATTGGTGCTGGGAGACTCCCTCCCTGGACATTCAGGTGACAGACAGCGACGTGACGTCCTTAGAATTCACCCAGACTGGGTACCTGCTGCAGTGCCACGTCTCCCATCCCATTGCTATGGTAAGAAACAGGGATGAGAATTGTCGGAATTTTCTCTTGATTTCAGGATTAAAAAAAAAAGAGGCTTTTTTGAAATCTGGAATTCCTGAGAGTTTACCACAAAGGTGTGTCATTAAACTACAAAGGTTTGTGAAGAACTAAAGAAATTGGTATTTTAAGGGGTCTTTAAAAGGTAGAGTACATAATTATTTATTTGTGCTTTTTTTTTTTTTTTGAATCTCAAAATTTTGAGTTTTTCCACTTTTGTGGGTATTTTTTCCCAACAAAAATGCATAGTGTGAATCTTTGATACCTTGGCTACTTAAAAATCCAAAACAATAATAAGCGATTTTCACATCATTTTTCTAGTATATCCGACTTCAGGCGTCGATAACTCAAAACAAGGTTTTGGGGGACATTCCTCATATTGCCTCAGTAGGTCACAAATGTCGTCCATGGTAAGGAATGGATTAACCACTGCAATGGAAGCACCGATGAATACTAGAAAGGGATAGGCATACACTGTTGCCAGGTAGCATAAGTTTAGGAATGCAACTCAGTAGGCCAGAAAGATAATAGTTTATCATAAATTCCAATAAAATGTTTGCCGTTTCCTTACACTCAATAGTTGTACCATCACACCAAGTCGCCCAAGCAGTCCAAGGAGATAGATCTCGCCAAGGGACTGAACCAGTTCTGTCTGGAGAGATCCGGATCGTACCAGCTGACGCCGCTATCCTGCCATAAGTTTGACCAAGAGTCGTACAACTTTGACACGTAAGCACTGTTGCTGGTAGCGTTCTTTGGCGGAGTGATTTCTTGTGTTGAACTTAAATCAACAGGCGTGCAAGTTTCCTTCTATTTCTTCTCCGATTTGAAAAGTTGAATAAAGAAATTGACTGGAGAGGGGTTTAAACCTGCGACCTCCAGATTACCGTTCCAGTGCTCTACCAACTGAGCTATCCAACATATTTCTATGTTGGTGGTTCCCCATTTAGTCAATATCTTTGTTCAAGGGGTGCTGGTCAGAAGCCATATTACTTCTCTTGTTTGTCTTTTAAATTTAAATAAAATTGCAGGGTGTCTTGTAAAACTTAAAATATCCTGTTGTTTTTGTGACCTCCCAGTTGCATGCCTGATTCCTGAATATTGGCAGTTCCACGGTGTCCAACGCACATTTTGTGCAATTCACGAGTGTGTGTATTATAGTTATATTCATAAAGTGGATTTCAATTCTGTAAAAAACGTATCAGTTAGTACAATGATTTAATAAAGAAATTGTTCATGCGACTTTAATGCTGCAGTAGGAATCGGCGCGAAACACCATGGTGTCAGACGTACTCAGACAAATTGATTTTTTGTGTGTACCCATTAATTTACTTTCAGTTGCAAGTACGTTTAACAGCCGTTGAAAATTGTTAAAAATAAACTATATTTCAATAAAATACAGATATTAAAGGGAATATACATCATTTGCTTTTACTGTAATTTTCAGAAATGGATGGAATTGGGGTGTGGAAATATATAGCAAATATAGTTACACTGACTTTTTTGAGGTTTTGGGTTCGAAAATGCTATAAAATCAAGAAAAACAATCATTTTCCTGTAGTCTGGTTCCCTGACTCCATATAAGAAGAAACAGAGCAGTTTACATACATTGGGGAATTGTAAGGTCAGGGAACCAGTCTAGCTGGCTCGTACCCGTTCATAGGTTTGTAATCGATTGCAAACAAGTGCGATGGTCAATTGGGGCCAGTATTTGAAAAAAGCCAGTTTTTTCCAACGCTGATCGGCCGATCAGCGTTGGAAATTGACACAAAAATACCACTTTTCTTGAAAATGACAGTATACCAGGTGCAATGATTTTACAGGATGCTTTACACTGTCATTCACTAACAGTCCAGCAAGGTATTTCAAAATGATTTGGTAGTTTTATTTTCTGATGTTTGCAAATGCTGTATTTTCCCTTTAAGCTTCAAAATTATATACATGTACCGGTACATGTTTCATTTGTGAGGCGTTTTGGCAAAATGAGACAGAACTGGGCACAGGCCAGAGTGGAGAAAAATGCAAAAAACCAAATGGGGTGATTTTTTTTTTTGATTTTCAGATTTATTCATATTTGTAATCTTTGATACGTCTACCACAATATTTTTCAGAAATAGTATAAAATCTGTGGAATAGAAGAGTTTTCAGGATAAAACAAATTGGTATCTTTCATTTTCTCAGTATTTTACGTTTTTGACAAGTTGAACAACAAGTTCCTGACAAGCATGACAAGTGCAAACTTTAAACAGCTATAACTTGTCAACAGAATGTCCTTTTGAGGTACAAAAAAAAACAGTAATTTGAGGAGAATTTTATTCTCTTTTCTGATACCCTCAACTCCTCATTTTTCCCAGTTCTGTCTCTTTTTGCCAGAACGCCTCACATTTGTGGCATTGGGACCATTTTGAAATTCTGGCATTGAGGTTTATTATTCTGTGGTATTGCCCATATATTTCATCACCCACACCACCAACTGACACTCAGTTGTGCGTGAGTGCCTGGCACATGCGCGTATTTTACAGAGCCACGTCATTTTCGTTTTCATGAACTGACACCCAGCACAGTGCGGCACTGCTTGCGCGCACTCCGTACATTTTCGTTTTCACGAACTGACACTGATCTTAATTTCACCAGTGAAAAAAGGTTTCGATAAAATTTCTGTGTAATCCCACGAGTACGCTGATGGATTAAATTCGTGTCAAACCTTTCAAAGTGTTTTTCTCCGAATTGTATTGCCGCAGCATGCTTGCCTATCAGTTTGTAAAAATGAAAATCAAAAGCTTCAGTGTCCGATATGCATGCGCGCACACACAGATCTGCGTCAGTTCCAGGAACTGAAATTGTTGATTGGGCTGTTTTCACGAACTGACATCCCCTAGCGCATGAGTGTCAGTTCGTGGTGTCGGTGATGATTTGTTTTCCTTCAACCATGTTTTGTTGTTGTTCTGGAACCCAAGATGAAGCAAAAACTAGAGACAGAAAACGATATTGGGAAACAATCTAATACTTGCTCTCTGAATTAAATCATTTGCTGTTGTTCGTTTGTTTGTCATAGCTCATCTCCAGCCATGCTGGCTTTGACGGCTACCAAGCACCTGATGACTGGCGCCATCGTTGCTAAGCAACCGTCCTCTGACATCACGGTCTCCATCAGGTACAGAGATAACTCTGCGGAAACAAATGCATGAGTTTCATACTAAAAAAAACCTGGCTGATTTAGTGCAACATGCAAACTTGTTTTAACGGTCTGGTTCCCTGACCTGATCCCCAGGCAACTGCTTACAGAATGTAGGTCTGGTAACCATCCCTTTCAAAAGTACAACATAAAGTAGCAAAGCCCTGCACTCATCTAAGTGCATACTTGAGACAGAATTCTTAAATGGGCTTAAAATTCAGATACTGGGCATTACGCCAGGCATTCCTGTTTTTATAATGCCTCTCTCACAGATTCTGTATCTTGATTGGCCGCGAGCGAGTCACATGGCATTCGCTATATTTGCTACATGTATCTTGCAGTGCACGGCCAAAAGTATTATACTGGTAGAAACCAAAGTACCATACCCGTAGCAATCAAAGTACTATACCCGTAGCAATCAAAGTACTCTACCCGTAGCAACCAGAGTACTATGCATAAGAACCAGTATTATGTGCAAATGCATACAGGTGTGCGCGTTGCACCTTGCGCGTATTGTTCCCAAGCGCTAACGCTACATAACTGGGCTCAAACATTTTGTGAAGGGGTAGTTTGGCAAAGTAAATTTTCAACTAATTTTGTATTCAAATTGAAATACTCTCTTTTATTGTATTTAGATTAAATTAATCAGTTACTCAAGCAGAATCTGTGGTACAGGCGTTATCCAACAAATATTGACTGCTTTGTCTCGTGGTATAAAACTAGCCTCCCTCGGTGATCCATGGAGCATTCTATTTTTAACCTCGGGAAAAATAGAATGCTTCATGGATCACCTCGGGAGGCTAGTTTTACTACACCACTTGAAGCAGTCAATATTTGTATATTGTGCAACCTCTGATTTGCATTGGAACCGGTGTCGTGCCAAAAACCGTCCGGTGCCAAATAGTGTCCGCTAATTAGCATAATGCGATCTGATTGGTCATGCGTCTATGACGTCACATTGTTTACGGACGCTTGCCAAATAGTGTCCGCGCTTAGCGTGCATCCTATTGCGTGCCTTGTCGAGCTGTCAATACTCGTATAGAAAAGATCTCTTTTCACCTGAATTTGCTTTTTACAATCTGTTTTAACGTTTTCCTTGTTATCTGTGATAACTATCTGACTTGGTTTCCCTAATATTATATTTGTGCAAAATGTTTGTGTGTTTTTTTCGCGTCAGTTCACCTGTTTGGCATGCAGTACGTACGTTGGCCTAACGCCGTGTGAAGTGTGTGTAGTACGTACTGTGCTGTGTGTAGCATTATAACCAACGTTATATTTTACGGTTTTTCCCACCTAATACTGTCCGACTTTTCCTGCCAAATATTGTCCGATTTTTCCTGCCAAACTGTCCGATTCCTCCTGCCAAATATTGTCCGATTCCGCCCTGCCAAATACTGTCCAATTTTTCCAGCCGAATACTGTCCGATTTTTCCTGCTAAACAGTGTCAGATTCCCCCTGCCAAATAGTGTCCGATTTCCCTGCGAAAAAAAATGTCAGATTTTTCCTGCTAAATACTGTCCGATTCCCCCTGCCAAATATTGTCTGATTCCCCTGCTACTGAATATTGTCCGATTTTTCCTGCCAACAAATACTGTCCGATTCCCCGCCCTGCCAAATATTGTCCGATTCCCCCTTGCAAAATACTGTCCGATTTTTCTGCAAAATACTGTCCGATTTTTTCTGCAAAATACTGTCCGGCAGGACGTACGTACGTGCGCCCTTGTTCTCGCTCGATCGACGGCGCCCGGACACTATTTGGCACCGGACACTATTTGGCATGTATTACATGCCAAATAGTGTCTGGCGCCTATTGCGCATGCTCAGCGGACACTATTTGGCACCGGACGGTTTTTGGCACGACACCGGGTACCGGAGCATCGGACTGCTGATGTCAGTTACCGGTTCCAGATTATGGGATGGGGTACCTGTAACCAACTTCACATATTACTAGCTACCTTCTCCAACAATGAAAAAAAAAGGGTTTTGAATGTCATTTGTTGGGAATTTTCAAAAATAAAAACCAGGCTACATTGGAACACAAAACATATTTCACGCTCGCCAAAGCTGCAGTTTAATTTAAACCGTAAAGCTATAATGCCAACTGTACACACTTGTATCTTGCTGTATTGATGCACGATGTGGTAGTATTATCGTGCGGACCTTTATGAACATTCTCAGTAGCAACTTCTGAAATTTGAATTTTGGGATTGGGTTTCTTTAACGGGTACCCATGTTTTTGTCTATCGCGTACGTGGTTCCTGAACTGCCCGTAAATGCACTCTCCAAGATTAATGCATCAATTTTTTTAGATGGTTGCACTTTTAAGGTCATGGGCTTGAGTTTCACCCATGCAACTTTGAGCATTTTTTTCTCAGTAGCCTCGAACAACACCAGTTACACAGTACATGTATACAGTTTGCAAGCTAATCAGGCAACCATTGCCAATCTTCTCAATAATATACCACAGGTCATCCATTGAAGCAGAACCGTTAGTTCACTTGGGACCGCTGAAGTCACAGAAGGAGCTGGAGGAGGAGGCTAAACCAAAGGCCAAACCCACAAAGAAAGGAAAAGCAACAGCGGCTGAAGAAGAGACTAAGGTGGTGGAGGACACAGGCCCCTCTGTGTATGAGTTCACCTATTGGGCCAGGTGAGATTTCAGATAAAATTTGATTTTCTGTGTACTTTAAATCCTTCTTTGTTGTTGTCAAGACTGTTCCCAGAAATTTTGAGTCCTCAGTATTTTTCATCAACTGTTTGAATTTTGAGAGTCTAAATGTAATAATTACCCTGTAGATTGTCAGTATTTGATGATACCTGTATAATATTGATGCTTTATTTTCAAGTCAACATTCAACTTAATGTAAAAATTGTTTTTAGTTTTGTCAAAGTCGGGGTCTCACCAAGATCTTTTGAGATCCTTTTTTCCTTAAACTTTTTATTTTAAATCCTACTTTATCTCAAAAAATAAGTGAATTTCTTGTTTATGTTTAGAGCTACAGTATTGAAAATCTTTCCTTCATGTAAATTGGACTTCATTTAAAAGTGAGGTTCTGTTGTACATGTACAAGCTATGCGTGTGACGTCTCCGCTACTGCTGTTTGTTGAATAAGTTCTTTGTTGTGATGTTTTTTTTTTTTGGGTCAAGAAACGGAGAGCGGCTTGAAATCACTCCTTCCTCTAAAGTCATCCTCTTCTACCCAGCGAAGGCACAGGTCACGATACAGGCTGGTGAGTTTGATGATTTGTGAAATTGTTACAGGGATGTGAGTCCGGCAATTGCCAGATTTTAAGGGTTTCCCCCCCCCCCTTCAAATTGTATATAACATATACGGTAGGTACCTTACACATGTGTGTACTTTGCCTTTGTAGCAAAATCCGGCGACCAGAATTAGAAGCCATTACTGCGGTGGTGCAATGCTCACGCGCATGCTGCACACGTTCTTAGAAATAAGGCACGTGTGCATTTTGGTAACCGTATTGGTCAAAAGAGTGCAACTCGCATGAGCCTGGTGCCCCCTCGGAAAATGGCTGTTGCAAGATTAGTTTATACCTCAGATTTCAGGCAAAAATGTCAAAAACCTCTAATACATCCCCGTTGTTATCAGTTCCCTATTGGCTTTTTGAACAACATGCTCACTTGATCTCCAATGGGAGAGACACACCACATGCGCACTGGTTTGGCCTGCACAACAAATGTAATTCTGCACATGCAGAAACCCGTAACGTCTTTGCTATTGGAAGTTGACAAACTAGTTTTCTTGGCTTCGCCTCAGGAACTAGTTTGTCAACTTCCAATACCTCGGGGAGCTAATATCGACTGTCCACCCCCAAAGCATGTTATGTTTGTATAATGTAGTCAAGTCCATTACAAGCCCGGTTCAAAAGAAAATCACATGTCCTTTCACAAGTCCAGTCACATGTATCAGGGAATGATTAGACTGTTTTTCTCACAGATCATTTCAATAGCTTGTGACTATCCGCTCTGTTCACAAGTACCCCCTCACTGGCAAAGAGAGTACAGTTGGGGATTACCGACCAACGCCATCTTGCCTGACTGCAAGTATTCATTTGCTGCGAAGCGCGGCCACTGCGTGTACATAGTACAAATTCCCTGGTGTACGTGTGTCACTCACAAGGAATGGTGCGCGTCAACCAGCGAAATGTCCCGCCCATGGGACGTCATTGCTATGTAAAAGGGCGCCCTCTTTTGTCTGCGCACGAAGCCCATAGACTGGCAGACTTGTGAGGACTTTACTACAGCACTGTCAAGTAAAATACCAATCCACAACACTTGTATGCTTTGTGCAGGTGACGACTGCCTTGGAAAGGTCGTAGAGTTCGAGGGTCGCGCCGGGGTCTTCATCTCGGGTCAGGTCAAGCCGGGTCTGGGAGGGGTCAAGATATCGGTGACCTCGAGGTCACTAGAAGACAAAGAGGTCAGGCCGGCGATCAACATTGACACGGCGAAGGACGGACGATACAGGTGACTTTTCACGCCACTCATTCTGACTTTTGTAAAAATGTGGCCAGTTAGCTTACTTTTGCTCTACAGCATTTTATGTTTGTAAAAAGCCACTTTGGAGGCGAAGGACAGACGATACAGGTGATTGTTTCACGCTTCTCCGCCTGTCTTTTGTAATAATGTGGCCAGTAATCTGGCTTTTGCTGTACTGCATTTTATGTTAGTTAAAAGCCACTTTGGAGGCCAGTTTGAATTTACTAAATTGCCAATGCTCTTGCTTTTGCACAAATGTGGTCAGTATTAAAGCTGTTTTTTGTTCTACAGCACTTTATGTTAATTTACAAGCCACTGTGAAGGCCACTTTGAATTTAGCAAATAGCCGATGCTCAGCCTGGCTTTTGTAAAAATGTGGCAAGTGATCTGGTTTTTGCTCTACATCATTTTATGGCAGTTAAAAGCCACTATGAAGGCCACTTAGAATTTAGCAAATAGCCGATGCTCAGCCTGTCTTTTGTAAAAATGTGGCCAGTAATCTTGCTTTTGCTCACTTTGAATTTAGCAAATAGCCGATGCTCAGCCAGTCTTTTGTAAAAATGTGGCCAGTAATCTTGCTTTTGCTCACTTTGAATTTAGCAAATAGCCGATGCTCAGCCTGTCTTTTGTATAAATGTGGCCAGTAATCTTGCTTTTGCTCACTTTGAATTTAGCAAATAGCCCATGCTCAGCCTGTCTTTTGTAAAAATGTGGCCAGTAATCTTGCTTTTGCTCACTTTGAATTTAGCAAATAGCCCATGCTCAGCCTGTCTTTTGTATAAATGTGGCCAGTAATCTTGCTTTTGCTCACTTTGAATTTAGCAAATAGCCCATGCTCAGCCTGTCTTTTGTATAAATGTGGCCAGTAATCTTGCTTTTGCTCACTTTGAATTTAGCAAATAGCCGATGCTCAGCCAGTCTTTTGTAAAAATGTGGCCAGTAATCTTGCTTTTGCTCACTTTGAATTTAGCAAATAGCCGATGCTCAGCCTGTCTTTTGTATAAATGTGGCCAGTAATCTTGCTTTTGCTCACTTTGAATTTAGCAAATAGCCGATGCTCAGCCTGTCTTTTGTATACATTTGGCCAGTACTCTGGCTTTTGCTGTACAACGTTTTATGTTAGTAAAAAGCCACTTTGGGGGCCACTTTGACTTAGTAAAGTTCCAATACTCAGCCTGTCTTTTGTAAAAGATAGGCCATTAACCCATCATTGTACCACCCAAACCGCCCTGTCTATTACGCCTAAAAATCGCCCAAGCTCTCAATGGTTCTGATGGATTCATCAATGATAAACACAATGTAATAGAATGTACTACAGGTGCTAATGGGTTAAGCTGGCTTTTGCCCTACAGCTTTTTATATTCATTTGAAGGCCACTTTAAAGGCCAACTTTGACTTAGTAAATTCTTAATACCAGACGTTTTCTGTTTATTCAACAGGATTGGTCCGTTACCAGACACAGCTGAATATGATGTTCAAGCATCCCTGGAGGGGTATGTACTAACCAAAGTTGAGGGGACGGTCGGCGATTTCAAGGCGTCCAAACTCGGTGAAATTACAATCCAGGTAAAACATTCTTATCACAGTTGTTGTCAAGTAGCTTAAGACTTGTATAGTGCTTTATACCAACGGTCTCAAAGCGCTTAGTAATAATAATAATAGTGGATATTAATAAAGCGCACGTATCCACCAGGACTGGTGCTCAAGGCGCTACATCATTATTACCCCTGCTCATTGGGCACATGAAACATTCCAAATACCATCTCAGCTCCCTGGGGAGTATACAGCTCGATGCAGCCTGTTAGGCGCAAGGAAGCTAATTCAATCACAATAACCATCTCTGCCCTCACAGGTACCCACAGTTATTACTTCACAATTATTACCCCTGTTCGTCAGGCCATGAGACCAGTTTTTGCAGCAGCTCAAGATCAGCGCATTCTAGTCTCTACCTTCACAGGTACCCATTTATACTCCTGGGTGGAGAGAGGCAATTGTAGTAAAGTGTCTTGCCCAAGAACAAGGTGCTTGCAAGCACCGTGTTCCCGTCATCAGGATTCAAACCCGCGTACGACGACATGCGAGTCGAACACCGTAACCATTGGACCTCCAGCTGTTTGCCACTCATGCAAACTAATGGTAAAGCACAAACTATACAAATATTTATTATTTTTGTTTTCCAGGTTGTAGATGAGGAGGATGTCCCCCTCCAGGGGGTGCTACTCTCACTCAGCGGCGGGACCTTCCGCAGCAATAACTTGACGCAGGCCAGTGGCAGTCTGGTCTTCACGGGTCTGGGCCCGGACCAGTACTTCCTGCGTGCTCTGATGAAGGAGTACAAATTTGAACCAGGATCACAGGTATTAACTTTAAAAAGTTATTATAACGCGCAAACGTTATAAAGTACACTGATGGTTAATAATAATAACAATAAAAATAATAATATTACCTTGGATTGGACATTTGTTAGACATTCCCATAGACTTGTGCACAACATTTTTCAAACTTAAATGTGCCCAACCCAATATTCCCTTATCCATTTTCCACGAATTTGGATATTTTTACTAATTAGCAACAAATATAACCTAATTGTGATAGTAAAAATTTGCCTCTAAAATGGGGCTGTGACATTAGGGAGACATGAAAATACCGGTGTCTCCCTCCGTTCAAAAAAATTACGATAACGTGTTTTCCCAAAGGTACCATTTGGTAGCATAACCGTATTTATAAAGCACCTTTTGCAAAGGATGCAAAGCGGCTGGGGGAGAATGCAACCAAAGACGGGTAAATGAAGTATATGAACATATCGTCACGTAAGTGCAACAAGGTCGTATCTCCTAAAATGGCATGAACGATGCAAAATGCGAGTTTTGGAATGTCAAAAGGACGTATCTCGCTTAAAATAACCCGGATGTACACGCAAAGTCAATGGACGTCGAGATACGACCTTGTTGCGCGGAGCGTATTCGTGCGAGATACGACTTTGTTGCAGAATGGAGTTACGACCTTGGCCAAGTTCGGGCAAGGACCATTAGTCGACTAGTGGTTGATTTGTGACGTACCTTATGCCTGCGCACTGATAGCAACGTGCGAACGTCTCTAGTCAAACGCTGGTCAAAATGTCATCGCAAAACTTCTGGATCCTGGCTCTCTGCTAGCGTTATGAATGCGCGCGGCTATTGGTTACCAGCGAAGCAACCAACCCCAGTAGGCTGGTTCCAAATAGTCGACTAGCGTAGTCAACCACCGTTGACTAGACAGAGTTCGGGCAAACGTTAGTTAACCATTGGTCAACTATAGTCCTTGCGCGAACTTGGCCATAGTTGCACTGACGCAATGATATGAGGCCCATTATGCTGCACCTTTTTTTATAAGGGTATATACAAATTAATTACAATCATAAATACCTGAGACAGTTTACCCATTCTTATTGGTCGAAAGCCTGTCTCGTGGGTGGTTTTCAACAGTTGATAAAACACCGACTGGCTGGTTTTACATGAAATCCGGTGTTAGATGAAATGTGGTAAAAAGTAAAGTAAAGTCTGTCCTGAGCCAATGTGGCTCATCAGGCCGGTGTTTATCTCCGGTTTCCTTGGCATGAAACAACTGAGAATATTTCTACTCCCCCTGAATGGGATGCCAGTCCATCACAGGTTACTCCCCAGCTAATGCCGGTACCCATTTATACTCCTGGGTGGAGAGGGGCAAGTGGGGGTGAAGTGCCTTGCCCAAGGACACAATATATGGCCAGCGGCTGGATTCAAACCCCGGACCCTCTGATCATGAGTCACGAATCCTAACCACTAGGCCACACACTCCCCAAAGGAAATGTGGACTCCTATGAAATCTGCTTGCTTTTACCCTTTTATTGCTTGGACGTTCAAAATCTTCACTTAGGCATGCGCAATGCTACCAGCGAGTCTTTATTTTATAGAGTCCTACATTCACACTACACTGGCACCGCCACGTTCTTCGCCACATCGCGCAGTACACGCCATGCACATTTAAGTATACATTGAATCCGTCTATTGTTGTCCAACAGATAATGAATTTTTTACTTTTGCGTTTCACAGATGATCAGTGTTGAGGAGGGTTCGGTCATCAAACTCAAAATCAAGGGCTCCAGGGTCGCATTTAGGTAAGACTTGACAAATTATTTTGTATTGTTACTTATGACACCAAAGAAGATATGTCAACTAATTCCTGAACTCTTTGCACTCGGCCATCATGGGAATCTGTGAGAACAGAGTGTATTGGCCACATGCATGGACAGTAGATAGAATTTGGTGACTGCTTTCGAGACCCGCAGTTGGAGGGGCACGCTGCATGTGCGTACTGGATTGCGTGAGAGTGGCGCTAAGTACGCGCAACTTTAGCATACTGAATCTGCATCATCTACGTGTGATGAGTGCCCCTCCCGGCAGTCTGCCCCAGCTTTTTGTGACCGTTGACAGGGTACTCGTGGATGGAGTCCATTGACAATACAAGGGCTCACACTCCATGCAGTACAGGGCAGCTTGTCACACATTGCCATTCATGACACCATCTAAGGGGTATTTCGCCACCTGCGCTGCATGGATTTTACATCGTTGCCTTTTTGCATGTACATTCTGTCGGACTGATCCCAACTGGACAGATAATGCAGGTGATTGTCCTTCTTAGTGTTGTAGTCGAGTCCATCACAAGTCCATCACGAGTCCTCACAAGTCATCACAAGTCCTCACAAGTCCTCACAAGTCTTCACAAGTCGATCACAAGTCCTCACAAATCCATCACAAGTCCATCACAAGTCCATCACAAGTCCATCACAAGTCCTCACAAGTCCATCACAAGTCCTCACAAGTCATCACAAGTCCTCACAAGTCCATCACAAGTCCATCACAAGTCCTCACAAGTCCTCACAAGCCATCACAAGTCCATCACAAGTCTATCACAAGTCCACCCCCAAGTCATCACAAGTCATCACAAGTCCATCCCAAGTCTCCACAAGTCCTTGAAAGCCATCCAGTCCCAAGTCCAGTCACAAGCTATTCCAATGAACTGTGACTAAGGCATTCTTTGTTATCGTTCATCCCCTGCTACTTGTGAATGGACCTGTGAATTGACTGGTGAATGGACTCATGGCTGGACTTGTAATAAGCCTTTTCAGAGTTCCAACTGCGCATTCGTAACCTGTGACAACGCGCATTATTTGTCTCAAATGGCCTTTGACAACATCGCGCCACTGACTTTACAAAAAGGCTGTTTGTGCATTGTGGGTACTGTCAAAGGGCATTTGAGACAAACAATGTGCGTTGTCACAGGTTACGAATGCGCGCAGTTGGAACTCCGAAAAGGCTTATTGACTTGTGACTGGACTTGTGATGGACTTGACTACAACACTGACGACTTTACGATCAATGGGTCAAAATAGCAAATTTGGACTCTTGAGCTGTTTTTTATTTGTATTTGGTTCTTGGTATTCTATTGCAGTTGCTTTGGTGTGGTAGCATCACTGAACGGAGAGCCCGAGCAGGACATAGCCCTGGAGGCCCAGGGGGTGGGCGATTGCGGTCAGGTGGTGGAGGAAGGCATCTCAGATCAGGAGGGAAAGTTCAGGATCCGAGGACTTCAGGTAAGGGCCAGGGGTGTGAAATCTCAGCTTTGAACCTGATTTCAGCTTTTTTTGTTTTGGATTTCAGCTTTTTTCCCTCACTTGCTGTGTACAAAAGTATAGGAGATTTCCAAAGTTCAGCTTTTTTTTTACACCTTTTCCAGCTGTTTTCAGCTATTTTTATCGGTGGTCTCTCACACCCCTGAAGGGCGGAGGTGACAATACAAACGGCTCGCCACCAATTACCATGAACGATTAGCCAAATGGTTTTGGACTTTCTTTCTAGCATTTAGGGCCCTCTAAAATGATAGGCCTCTTGCCAACCAGTCCAACTGTGGAGCAAAGGAGGGCATTTTCGCCCTGGATTCCCAGAGGCGTATGTGTAATCCCCAACTTCAAAGGTTCACCCGCCACTACTCAACCAGAGTCGAGGCTTTTGTTTTATAACGCAACGTATTGAACCCTTTCATTACCACATTGTTTATTGACTTGGCTCTCCCCAGGACCAAATTGTTTGCTCAGTTTTGCGGAAATCACTAAAGCCTGAAAAAAATTACCACAAGTCGAAACTCACTCTTTTCAACCAAGATTTTCACTGCCAAGGAGTGATTAAAATCATAGGTGTTGTGTGTAAAGTGTGTTTCTTGAACCGTACTCTTTTATGTGATGTACAAAGGAAGTCAATATGTGCAAATATAAGAATGTTATTCCTGTTTGTTCGTCTGGTCCCATTTATCAAACTGCAAGCCATTTCACCAGATGGCACTCCATACCTCAAACTGTGCGTGGATACTTCTGAAGCACTTTTCTTAATTTTTTTGTAATGGCTACATTGTACACTGATGAATAAACTACACCATTAGAACGATCCGAAAACACTCTTTCAGCTGGTATGTGCATGATGTATGGGCGGCCAAACATATCAACATGACGCCTTTCTGAAAAGTAGTGAATATATCTGTGTTGAGGGTGTTCTGTGTGTGGTTTCCTGGTCGACTAAAGTTGCCTATGGTGAGCAGCAGGGGGTACTTTCTTATCGAAAAAAGTCGTCCAAAATTTACCGATTGTGTAGTAAAATGTCCTACACTATCAGTCGATTGTTGTTACATTATCGGTCTCAACCGATAATGTAGCAAATGTTGACCGATAGTGTAGTAACATTTACTTCACTATCGGTCAATTTTTGTTACATTATCGGTAAGTGATACAGTATTGGTCAACTTGTGTGACATTATCAGTTGGTGATACATTATCCGTTGGTTGCTACATTATCAGTTGTAAAACCTGCTTTTGAACAGAGTTTCCATATTGGAATTTTGTGGTTTTGGCTCGAGAATTGTTTGGCGTGTGCACTATTGTCTAAAAGGAGGCCTACAAGTTTTTCCGTCAATAAAAGCCCAAAATGGGATTGAATAATAAACGACACAATAAATGATTAATCTAATAATCAAATAATCGTCACGGATCTTTGTGAAGTTTGGGGTTAAATAGATTGTGTGATTTCCATCTACAGCCGGAATGCTCCTACGAGCTGAGACTGAAGTCTGGTGAGGCCAACGGTCACATTGAGAGGGCCGCTCCCAAAACACAGATCATAAAGGTGAGGAATGTAATTACACTCCAGCATGAGATTATTATATATTTCTTTCATATAAATGAAATCTTATCAATCCATTTTGTAGATATGGTGGAATGCGGCTATAACGAATATTGCGGGATCCACAGTAATTGTTCGTAGTAGCGATCGTTCGGTATAGCCAAAGTGCTCCGGTACTCACTTTTCAATAAATAGTGCCCTTTAGAACTTCACCCTGCATGCTCTGGTAGTTACTGAAAGACGACTTGAACACGTGCTGACTATTGATTTATGTCATTACACAGTTTTTTAGCTTACTACCTACAGCGATAGGGGGCTTTCCCCTTCTATTCCTTCGGGAAGTAATAGCCACTTGTCGCTCTTCTGTTGACAAATTTGAACAACAATGTTCGGTACCTTTTGTACACAAAAATCGGGAGCCAATCACGATGTTCGGCATAGCCAAATGTTTGGTATAGCTGTGTTCGGTATAGCCTCGTTCCACTGTAGCGTTTAAACACAAACTTTAATTTGTGTTATTGTTTTTGCTAGTCTCAGAGGGCCAACCCAGTACCCTCTAACAGTCTAAGTCTCACCGTAAGCCGGGCAGTGCTATTGTATCTGATTATCCGTAACGCCTGTGAATAGGCTCATGCTGTCCCATTGTGTACACAATCTTAGATGCATGAAAGGACTCCCAGTCAATAGCTGTTCTGAATCAGTTGAATGGAATTCGTGCGATTCACTAAGTTTGCCTCTTTTCATCTTTTTATTCTAAATTTAAACTATCTGTTTGTTTTCAAGAACTGGAAGAACAAGTCAGTTTCCGATGTTATTTGTTTCAAAAATTTTTCATTGCTAGCGTACAAATCTTATTCTATTTTTGGTGGAGATTTTTGGTGGAGTATGTCCTTATGATAAGGTTTGTGAATCATGATCAAAAGGTCAGTGGTTTGTATCCAGCTGCTGGCCAATAGTTCATGTAGTTTGTGTCCTTGAGCAAGCTACTTCACCCTAATTTTTACCTGTTTCCCAAGACACAGATAACCGTGCGGCTGGAGCACCGATTGAAATATGTTGACGGTCTTTTTTGAAAAATGCAAGTTGCGTTGGTTTGATTCTTCTTTTTATTCCCTAGGTGCAAGGGAAGGACATAGCTGATCTTCATATCATTGTCTTCCGTCGCCTCAACCAGTTTGAGATAGGCGGGAACGTGATAACGCCCAGTGAACATTTAGCAACGCTTAAGGTAAGTGCTGCAGCTTGTCATTATTCAGAGCTGCTAGTCATCAATTAGGGCACAACAAAAATTGATAAAGTTGTTGACTGATCAGTTACGACATCTTCTCTTCCGTACAACTTTCACAGTTACTTTGGATGGAGTACTACAGCTCCAAAAAAATACATGTCCTACTTTTGATCCTCAATAACTCTGTGGTTTACCAATGGAATTAAACCAAAAATTCAGATCATGTAAACAAGGCATTACAAATTTTATGGAGCGAGTTTCATCAGCTTTGTGCAAGAGGGTGAGATTTAAACATACGAAAAAAAAATACTCACTTTCAGAATCTAGCACTTTCGACTTGGCTTCCTCCAATTGGCAGAAGGCGCATGCTGCAGCTGAAAGCTTCTGAAGGAATGCAGGATCACCCCTGATGTCATTGCACACCTCCTCGATCGTTTGGTGCAACACACGATCAAGGAGGTGTGCAATGGCATTTAATTAAAATGTACATCAATTTACAGTACACAATTTGACTGAGTGCGTCTGTTTTTGGTATGACAAATGCTTTAAATTCTAGGTAATTGTCTGAATCAATACAATGTAAAACTTGATCAGCGAATATGGAATATTCAAATATTCAGTCAAGTCCAAGTTACAATAATGGAACGGTAAATTATTCAAAAATACACAGTACTACATTCATTATTGAGAAGTCAACTTTGCTTGAAGATGAAATACTGTATATCTGAATTTGCCTGAAACACAGCTGACCATGCACTTATATTTTCTTTTTAATATTTTTTCTGCAACTTTTTTTTTGTAGGTACTATTATACAGCGAAGATAATCTAGTATCTCCAGTGCATACGTTATCACTAGGCAGTAGCTGTTTCTTCCAGTTCCCCTCGCTACCAAACGACGGAGCGGTAAGGAGTGAAAATGTTAATGATGATGAAAACAATGAGTATTGGAAACGAGCAAAAATTGCCTGTGGAGTTACGGTTAAATTTGCTTTCCCTATGCTCTTCAAGAAATTCGAATTATTTTTTCTCCTGGATAAATTTTCATCTTGTATGTTTTATTCCAACCACAAAAATAAGTCCTTTTTGTTCTCTATTGGGCGTCTGCAACCATCTGGGGCAAAAAAAGCTGTATATTATCCCTGACCATGCTAAATGCAACAGAAAGCAACAATGGTAAAAAGTTGTTGCACACTGTTGCATTTAGCAGGCAACTCAAGTCCCCATGCTTTGTTGCATCTTGTTGCATTTAGCAGGGTTACTGCTCTTAGTGCCAAGGCAATACAACAGAATCCACTGTTGCATTTGGTTGCATTTAGCAGGGTAACTACTTGGTGCCAAGGCTGGTATGCACTGGGTTCACTACACAATGCAACGGAATCCACTGTTGCAGTTTGTTGCATTTAGCGTGGTTCTCACTTCAGTTGTGTTGGATATCATTGCATTTAGCAGGGTACCTCAAGAATACCCGATGGGGGTTAGGGTTAAGGGCACAAAAATATACGCCTTGCGAGCAGACTGGCTCCCAGTCTGTATACATTATCGATACTGATGGTGGGGCCGGAACCAGCCTATCCTAAGAGATGGAAACATTGTTGGGCCTCAAGTAATTCAAAATCAGTGTCCAACAGTTTTTGTGTGCAGTTTACCATATGGTGTTGGAATTTGCAGGAGGGATCAGGTTCATAATATATCGCTCTAGGGGGTTAGGATTAATAAATAACTGTTGAGAGTTTCACTAGCATGTGCCCCCCCCCCCCTTGTATTTGACCTCATTACACTCTTAAGGCAGGTTGTACTTCACACAAAATTGAAAGCATCCACTTTTTTTCCCCAGCTTGTTCAGAGTTTAAGCATGGCCTTGGTTCAAGCTAGCAAAGGTTTAAAGAAAAAAAAATATTAATATGAAAGTAAAACACTGTAAGTTCTTTAATAAAACAATGCAAAAAAATATCTGCAAGGCTACTTCAGTATGTTAACTGCATCCACTTCTATAGTTAAGTTTTGTACTGCTGTATAAAATGCATAACGAATGGGGTCATGGGCAAAGATCATATGCGCAGCACTATGCGATCTTTGGTCTAGCATGCACGTGCAATAAATCAAGGGGATGGAACGAAAACGCACGGTTAATGGAACCAAAAATGCATGGTTTATGACATAGCCATGCAATGGTTTGATTAATGAGTGCCGCATGACCGCCAATCCTCCAATCAAATGACAAGAATTTGCTTGGGTGTTATACATAATTCTGCAGGTTGTGGGTTCCAGTCCTGCCTGGGGTTATGGTGCGTGTGCCCTTGGGCAAGGCACTTTGTCACTCATTGTTTTTCCCCACCCAGGAGTAAATGGGTCAGGGCTGAGATGGTTATTGTGGTTGATTTAGCTGCTTTGCACCAAAATGGCAGCATCGAGCTGTATACTCCCCAGGGAGCTGAGATGGTATTTGGAATGTTTCATTGGCCCAGTGAGCAGGGGTAATAATAATGTAGCGACTTGAGCACCAATAAGGGTGGACACCTACGCTTTATAAATGCGCATTATTGTAAATAATTAACTTTTATTACCATTTGCTATTGTTCTTTTTCCAAAACAGAGGTACGTCATGCGTCTAGAATCGTCGTTATTAAAATCCAGTTGGGAATACACTCTACCAGAAGCTAGCTTTAGCACGGAGGGCTACTTCAAGCATATCACCTTACAATTCAACCCAGAGGTTTGTATCCCGAGTCTCCAGTATGCTGTCATTTGCAATAAAGACAGGAATTTTGTGCCAATACTAATGATTGTTTGGACAAACCATAACTGAGAAAAATGGGTTCAAACCAGCTATTTACCTAAGCTGTGTGTACCAAGGTTTGACTTAAAGGTAAAGTCCATCATTTGTAATTTGGGCATTTTGTTCCTTTGAAGCAACAAGCGTTCTCAAAATCTAAAGAAGGGTGATAAACAACCAAGCTGATGAAGTTTCAGCTCAGCTTCAGCTGTATTTTTCGAGAAAAACAACATTCTAGGATCTCGATTTCAAATCAAAAGTTGCTGAATCAAGTTTTGAATTGGGCCTGAATTCAGCGTCCAAGACACATTCGCACTGAGCTGAATGCAGCTACGCGATGTCGCGCACTGATTCGATGAATTATAGAGGGCGCGTGTGCGCCGTGTCAGCGCTTGCGCGCCATTCGCCGTATAAAAAAACAAGGAACTACTAACGGAATTTCCAACGGTGCGTCTTAAGACGCACCGTTGGAAAGGCCTTCTTTTCTTGATTTCTTCAAAATGACAGCATGCCAGAAAGAATAATTTCACAGGGAGTTTAGTCCCCTTACTATCTTTCAACCAAGTGTGTTTTTCAACAATAATTACGTCAGTCACATTTTGGATAGCTGCAAATGATGGACTGTAGCTCAGTTGCCCGCTAGCCAAATGCCAGTCAAAACAGTGGCGGGCTAGTCAAACTTTTCCTTAAGTAGCCCAGCTGGCGAGTCAAAAATTATTGGGATACGGCAAAGATGAAAGGACAGGAAGAAATAAATCATTAAATTTAGAAAGCAATCCTGTATCAATCTGCGTCTAATTTAATTGACCGTAAAGGTTTAATTATTAGATTTGTTTTATTAAAAACACTGACAAGATTGCCTCAGGATACACGTTTTGGATAGCTGCACATTGTTGTTGATGAGACACTCTATAAAAGAAAAACATGCGGCCTAGTGAAAATGCCCGCGGGCTAGTGAAGAGTCTGTTTCAATAGCCCGGCTGGCTAGTGAAAAAATGAAAGTTAAGGTCGAACCCTGGTGTACACTTGGCAACGCAGGCACGGCCTGTGACCTATTGGTTTTACGCGAGACAATTTCAACATTTTTACTGTCTGAGATTGTTCGGCTTCGCAATGTAGTGATGAGTGTTTTTTGGGTGTTTTTTTTTTTTCCCTAACAGAGACGTTCCGTCGATCAGGAGGTCTCCAGCGGTTCACATCTAGCATTACCCCTCATAGCTGCACTGATAGCCATTGGACTGAACCACGCAAAGGTAGGTGTGATTTATGAAGTGTGAGAGGGGTTAGGCAATGGGTGTGACAGTCAGGGGAAGTGTCTGATGTACCAGGACACCCCTAAAATTGTACAGTGGAATGTCCAAAATAGGTTCAGTGAATGCTTCACAAACATCCATTTTTTAAAATCTATTCTGGGGTATCTGCAACCCTCTGAAAATGGCCTTTATTTTGGTTTGATTTTTCCGCTCATATAGATCTGCCTTGTGGGTAGACTGGTTCTTGGTGCCTACGTTATCGATGCAGATAGAACTAAATTATTGTTGTGACTCGCATAATTCCAAATTTCAGAGTATCCATTCCACATTCTAACTGTGGATATATTGTGTCATTCGCTATCTTATTCCAAAGTGAGTAACATGGTCTTGATTCTCTTGTTGTCTCCTAGCTTTTGCCCATACTTCAACAACTGGGCCAAAACTTGAAAGGCCTGCGTTCCCCGGGCAGCGCGGAGGGGCGCGACATGGGCGGGGCCGGCGACCAAGACACCAGACCCAAGAAGAAGCCCAAGACACGCAAGACATAAAATGAGCAGGTTTGTAGAATAGACCAATCGCGGCTCTCCAGGAGTTTGCCGATTTGCCACGTTGTCCGGCTTTAATCAGGAGCCAGAAAATTTGAGAGAGACTGAAGTAAACAAAGTAATTTTCTCTGAGGGTAATCACATTTTGAGTTGTAATCAAGGTTCAATTAAAAGTCCATCACAAGTCATTCATTAAACAATGCATTGTGAAGTTTTATACAAATATAGAATGCTTCGAGTGGTGTAGTAAAATTAGCCTCCCTCGGTGATCCATGGAGCATTCTATTTTCCCTCGGCGAAAAAATGTCCATGGATCACCATAGATTTACTTCACCACGAGATAAAGCATTCAATATTTGTTTTATAACATTTCACCCACAGATTCTGCTTGGTTTTAATATTTTAAATTATTTAAATCTGAACACAGTTGAAATAAACTTCAATTCAATACAAAATTGGTGGAAAATATATTTCTCTCTTCCAAACTACCCCTTCACAAAATGTTTGAACCCAACTCTGCGGCGCGCTCTCTTTGGAACAATACGCTCTACGCGCAACAGGCACACCTGCATGCATTTGCACACAAATACCGCGCCGTGGATATAATACAATCTTTTAAAGATGAAAAATTTGATCTTTCAGCTTACCTCATGCAGAGTCCCAAGTCATGTGACAAGTTATGCAAATGAACTGTGACAAAAGCATGCCTTTGTCATCGAGCATCCCCTATCACTTGTTACTCGACTTGTTGCAACTGACTGTTTGATTGACATGTGATTGCACTTGTGATTGACAATGACACAATTACAACGTGGCTAAGTAAGGCCAACAAAAAATAATAATTCTACTTCCGATTACATGGCATTTAAACATAGGGTAAGTAGGTAGGTAAATAATTTTTTTGGGCAAATTTTTGTTGTGTACGATCATATGGAGGCGTCTGTGGGTAGTCAAAGGTAAAAGGTAGAAAATCATGGTTTGGGGGTTTTTCTCATTTTTCCAATAACAAATTTAGGGTAGGGGCTGTCAGAATAGGGTAGGTAGGGGAAACCGGAAGCAGAACTATTTTTTTTTTTGGCCTGAGGGTTTTCTTAAAAGGTTATTTAATTGCATTCCTTGATAAGCCAGCAACAAATAGAAGGTCCACTTTCATTAGAGGGGTCATAATTTTGAATCTGATCGTATTATGATGACGTCATTATATAGAACTTTGAGGAAGTTTGTAAGCTTACATTTTGATACCCCGTTTGCTACCAAAGACTGTAAATTGTCAAAGATTTTCAGTGGTTTATAAAAAAACGATGTACATGTAGCTTGAAAAGTTGTAAATTTAAAGATTACGCGAGGAGAAATTGCTAAGCGCAAACACACACACCCGTAATTGGCTCCTATCGACTGCACAGTGCCCGAACAAAGCGCAGGTAATTCAATTTTGCGTGCTCCCATGTGTGCAAGCACTGTGCGATCAGTATTCCCTGCCGTTCGTTTCGGGCAGTGTGACATTGTCAAGCAGCAAGTTCTACTCGCGTATACTCTTTAAATTTGCAACATTTCGAACTGCATCATTTTTTTATAAACTGTTGTCAATGTTGGACGATTTACAGTCTTTGGTAGGAAATGGGGTATCAAAATGTAGCTAACAACATTCCCCAAAGGTTTCTATAAATGACGTCATACTAGTGTTCATTCGTTTTGAACGTACGCAGGACGGGCATTGACGTCTCAGCCAATGAAAAGCTTTGCTTGCCACGCTCCACCCACAGTTACCGCCCACCGTGACCGTCCACTGCCTTACTTTTATTATTCAAATTGTTCGCTGCTTCTATTAATCACGATAACAATGCAAGAGGATTCCAAGTCGTTGAGCGGTACAAATTTCAACATAACAAAAGAACATTCTAAGTGGCAGGATCGGGAACCATAAAGTGGAGTTGTATAGTGCTGTACCTATAGGCGACATATGACGTGATGAAGAAATGCACTGGAAATGTTGTACATGTACGCGTATACGTATATAGGATACTATAGTGCACGAACAACTCAAACTCATGTTGAAATCTTTCGACAAAGTTTGTCAACCCTTTTTCCTGTCAATAAAAGTAAACACAAACAAATCTCTGCTTCTTTGAAGCTCTATCGTATAATCTCCGATAAATAAAAACTGAAATTAACAAAATAAAACACTTGTTATCAATTATATCACATGTATTATAAATAAATAATTATAAATAAAAATTTGAAGGACTTGCCGAAACATGGGTCAGCTTAGTTTGTTGATTGTAGTTTCAGGTCAATGTACTCTTTAAACAGTTTGAAGCAGTTTTATTAGTTTTTAGTCATGAAAAGAATATGATAAAAATACGGTACATACAAATATTTCTTTTTATTGGAGATTCAGTTAAGGTTAATTTTAAACGTAATGAGCCAAACTTTTTTTTCAGCGTCGTTAAACATTTGTGACTCTATAAACTAATGATTTACTCCCTAAACCTCTTCTTTGTTTATAAACTTATGGCGATATGCATTTAAAACAGGTGCCCTCTCCTCATCATTGATATTCACAAGGGCACATTTGTCGAACGTCCCCCATTTCGTGCCTCACTTTCGTCTTGCTTTCAGAGTGACAGTACCCGAAGGTACGTGGCCTTTAGCTTTAACAGGCATAGAATGTATATGTCTTGTTAATCTGAATACTGACTGTACCCTGCGTAACATTTATAATCCTATGTACCGTTTTTATTGTTTTTCTAAGTAGCGCTCGTACCCTGCCTTAGCCTTATTATTTCCTCGCGTTCCGAGTGTATTGTTAATCTGAATACTGACTGTTCCCGGCGTAAGCCTTTTTAATCCTACATAGTTTCTATTGTAGCGCTCGTACCCTTAGCCTTATTATTTCCTTACGTTCCAAGTGTATTGTTAATCTGAATACTGACTGTACCCTACGTAAGCCTTTATAATGGTGTCTATAGCACTCGTACTCTGCCTTAGCCCTTTTCTTTCCTTACATTCCAAGTGTATTGTTAATCTGAATACTGACTGTATGCTGTACCCTACGTAAGCCTTCAGAATAGTTTCTATTGTAGCGCAATCTTGGTAAAGGTGCAGGCAAACAAAATATGCCCGTGCAGAGAAAACCCATAAACAGAGTGTTGAAATAATTCCAAAGAAAAGCCAGCTCTTCGTCGAGAAAAAATTCAACAGGGGGTACACTTATCAATATCAGAAAGTAATAACATAGAAAGGAACATGATTGTGGCCACGGGATCCATGACTAAAGGCAGTATGTATAGTAGGCTTAAATGCTGAGAGGACTCCCTGCAGTTTGAATTCATATACCTGCACTAAACTAATTACGTGCGTAATTCTGTTTGCTTTACCGACTAGATTTTGTTCAAAACACATCATGTACAACGTACATGTACTTGCAAAATTGCTTCGATAGAGAGATTCAGCAGGTATTGTGTCAGACAGCTTTCTTTGTAAGAGATCCTCGTTTGTTAATTAGATTTTTGTACCGCTCAACGAGTTGGAATCCTCTTGCATGCAGCAAACAATTTGAATAATAAAAGTAAGGCTGTGGACGGTCACGGTGGGCGGTAACTGTGGGTGGAGCGTGGCAAGCAAAGCTCTCCATTGGCTGAAACGTAAATGCCCGTCTTGCGTACGTTCAAAACGAATGAACACTCATAAGACGATCAGATTCAAAATTATGACCCCTCAAATGAGTTTGGATTTTTTTTTGTAGCGGTGTTGATTGTTTTTCTGAAAGACCCATCTCAATTCATAGCAATTCATATACAGTCGACTCTCGTTAGTACAAACTCTGTAACACAAAATTCTGGTTATAACAAATATAAAGCCTTGGTCCCGACTGTGCGTTTATGTGCACAATGAATGGGACTGATGTTCCTCTTAATACAAAATTCTGATATAACAAACAATTTGGCTAGGTCCGAACGAGTTTGTTATAACGAGACTCGACTGTAGTCCTGGACCAGTTGTGGACGTTGAATCGGGTATAAGTTGTAGGATTCTGAACAACTTCCCCGCAATCTTCCTGTAATGAAGTTATCAGTATTTGTGAGTCGAGCAGTTGCTGATGAAAATTTCCCGCAACACATCCAGGACAAATGCTGAGCTTGTTCCGAACAAAGTGAATGATTCTGCCCACAACTTGTCCGGAACTCGTCCCAGATATGAATGTAGACGGGCCTTAAATATGAAACGATATCAAAAATGAATTTATTGGAAGGATCCAATGAAGAAAATCTCAGAATTTGTGACTTTTTTTTTATGAATGGGATGTTTTAATGTGTTTTTGGAATGTGGAACTATGTGAGAAAATTGTGTGTACATTTTGGTTGGTGTTTTTCATCCTGTGCAACTACATGTATGGTGTTTTTAAATAGTTTTATAAATTTGATATTTTGTTTTTGAGTACTGCAGTTCCCACCAAGTGATAATTGTTGGAAAGATCATGAAAAAGTAGACTGTAAACATGCACACAACTACATGTATACCTTAAAAATGTGTTGGTTTCGTTTGTTTTTGTATAAATTACAGCTGTATCAAGTGAAGGAACTTTGGGTTACAAACTTTTAGTCCTCAGTATCGAGCAGTTAGAATGCTAACCTTGATTCAAGTCACATATTTTTCCTTTTCAAAAAGTTGCTTCATACATAACATGCATGCTCTTTTGCTGGACCTAATTTCTCCTTGTGTGAAAAGGCCATATTTTTGCGAGAAAGTAACAATGTCACTTTAAGGCCAAAAAAAAAACAGTCTCCGGTTTCTGGTATGAACGCGCGTCGCCGTAGCCATGCGCGTTGGCAAAATGAAAAAGGTTTTTTTTTCAATGAAAGATGATGTCTCAAAACTGCCAAACTCACTGGTTTGACTGGAATCCTGCTGCTGCACAATTTTTAACGTGTTTTTAGATTGGGTTATGGTCGAGAATAAGCTTTATGTGGCCTCTCTGGACTCCCATGTATTTGCACTAAATTTAGTCAGGCACCATTTGCAGTCATCAGCCGACATATGAAGCAAAAAAATCAGGTAAAAAAAAAAAAAAAGCCGCGTCGCCGCACCACTTTTTGGGCAAGCTCCATACCAGAAACCGGAGACTTTTTTT